TGTGCCCAAAGGAGGAAACACTGGAGGTGTGGGAATGGGGGTCAGCAGCCAAAGCAGGGCTGGGAGCAGCGGGTGCTGAGCTGGGGTCTTCATCAACTGGTCCTGACCCCTTGGGTCTGCACTGGGGTCTAAAGGGCCAGAGCCTCTCCCAATCTCCAAGCCAGGGACTCCCAAGGGGCTTACCTGTTCACAAGAGTCCCCTGGGGAGGTGTGTGTGTGTGCACGCGTGCATGCACACATGAATGTGAATTTGATAGGATTAACATAAAACTATGTTAACCACTTTATGGTGTATAATGCAGTGCTTCAAGAACACTCACAACACTGTGCAACCATCATCACCACCTAATTCCAGAACATTCCCGTCACCCCAAAAGAAACCCTCTCTCCCAGCCCCTGGCAAGCACTCATCTACTTTCTACCTCTACAGATTTGCTTGTTCTGGATATCTCATATAAACGGGATCATACACAATGCGGCCTCTTGTGTCTGGCTCCTTGCGCTCAGCTTATTTCCCGGGGCCAACCACGCTGTAGCATGATCAATACTCATTTCTTTTCATGGCCAATATTCCGTTGTATGGGCAGACCACATTTGTGTTTATCCATTCATCTGCAGATGGACATGTGGGATGGTCCCCCTTGGCTTCTGTGAATAGTGCAGCTATGACCCTCCATGTATATATAGGCTTTTGTTTGAATACCTGTTTTCAATTATTTGGGGTATATGTGTAGGAGTGAAATTGCTAGGTCAACAGTAATCGTTTACCCTGAGGAGCTTTTAAAACAGATTTCTAGGCCTTCCCAAGGAACAGATGATTTAGTAGGTCTGGGGCAAGGCCCAGGAATCTGTATTTCTAGGACACTCACTCACCATACCTTTATGTCACCAGCAAATGAAACCAATATCCTGTGTCAATATCTGCTTAGCACCAACCTTTAATGGTGGCACCAACTACTAAAAAAATCAAGAATTTTAATATTTTCTGGAAACTTCTATTTAATCTATACTGATCCCCAACTTATGATGGGTTTAAGATTTTTTGACTTTATGATGGTGTGAGAGTGACGTGCACATTCAGTAGAAACCAAACTTTGAGTGCCCATACAACCACTGTCACTTTCAGTACAGTATTCCATAAAGTGCATGCGATAGTCAATACTTTATTATAAAACAGGCTCTGTGTTAGCTGATGCTGCCCGACTGCTGGCTACTATAGGTGTTCTGAGCACATTAAGGTGGGCTGGGCTAAACTGTGATGTTCCGAAGGTTAGGTGCGTTAAGCGCATTTTAGAACTGACGATGTCTTCAACTTGAGATGTGTTTATCAGGAATAACCCCATCGTCAGTCGAGGAGCATCTGTATACGAAAGGCAGACCACCTTTTAAGAATCCTTGACTCTCTTCATCGTATGTCCAACAGTCCAAATCTAACACTCCCACTACGCCCTCGCCCGCAGTGGGAGAAGGGGCAGCAGCCTGGCACTGAGGGCTTCGGAGCACAGGCACAGGCCAGACCTGGGCTTTCTCCTCTGAGAAAGGTGGAGACGGTATGGGCCACTGCCCGAAGTGAGCGCTCAGCAGATGCCAGCGCACCCACCGTGGGGCCTTTTGTCGTGCGAGGCTTCCTCAGGGTCATTGTGCACTAGACCTATGTGCATAAGACAAGAGTCTAGATAGATCTAGACTCAGATGGGGCTGAGGGTGGGTCAGGGCACCCAGCAGAGTCACCCTTTGCATCTCGTCCCCAGGCAGTATTCTCGAAGGCTCCTGCAGTCAGGTCCCCTTCTGACTCTCAGGGGACAGCCACAGTGAAGTGTGACACCTGGCCCCTCTCTGGGACTCTGGCACCCGCTGTGGGATCCCTGGGGTATCTGTGGTTGTTCTTTTTTGGTTTTTAAAAAAGGTGTAGCTGTTCACCAGAACAGATGATGAGAGTCCATGCCAGGGGCAAGAAGGGATCCCTTCAAGGCAGGGAGTTGGTCCAGCCCAGGACCTGACCGGTGGGCCCAGGTGATGAAACATGCCCGCAGCCATCAGGCACATCTGTCCTCATGAACAGCCAACATTTACTGATCACTGGCTGTCAGGCACAAGGCTAAGCACATCGTCTGTACGTCACTTATCACAACACACTGAGCTCAGTGACATGAGGGCCCCTGTCTAAGGCCCACAGCAGGAAGTGGTCAACCTAGAACCGGACCCAGGCAGTCTGAGTCCAGGGCCAGGGCCATAGCATCCTCTCTAGAACATTCCTCCAAGGTGGATTCCTGAAATCCCACCTCAACCATCCAGCAAGGGGCACATACCTCCAGGGCCTCTCCTCTTAGACAGCACATCTGGACACCAGACTCAAAGCTGCCCCACCAGACCCACTGATCCAGTTCTTCCCTGACACTTAATCCCCTTTCTGTATAAACTCCCCACCAAGGAGCACTCTCTCCTGGTTCAATCTTACCTGCTCCTTCAGTCACTTCCTTCCTCCATGACTTTGTCCCAAGGCCCCTCATCACCGGGCATCCTCCTAGGGTGCTACTACTGTCCCTTTAAAGTGAGGCAGATGGACGGGGGACCTTGTACAGATGCCAGCAGTTAGGCATGTGGGTTTTGGAACTGAGGCAGACACAAGTTCAAACCCCGCCTCCGCCTCACTCACACCCCATGCTTCTGTACTGCGGCAGAGCTGCCCTGGTTCAAGGCCTGCTGTGGTCTTTGTGGCTGCTATTGAACTTCACCACATTAGATTAGGACCTAAACCCAAACTGTACGTGCACCTGACACCACACGAGTGCTCGGTCCCTGGTGAATGGATCCACCTGTCTAAACAGGAGGCCCCATTAAGGGCCTCCAATTCCCAGCCTCTGCCCAAGTGAGAACAACATCCCGGGCTTCCACACAGGGAAATGACAGGAGCAGGAAAACTAGTTGTGAAGGCAATTAATAAGTACAGAAGACCCCCGCACCACACCCCTACTACCCAAAGTTCCATTTTTGGGGGGTGAGGTGTCTGGGGACAGAGACAGGCGTACCAAAGGCCATGCAGCCAGCGTGGAGACCAAATCCTCCAGCTCAATGCTCTCTGGTCTAGAACTTCACTCCACAGCCACATCACCTACCATGTTAGGAAGATGTTACAATGGAAATCCAAAAAACTTTGTCTAGTTTACAAAAAAAAACCTTAATTCCATCATTTGCAGACATTAAAAACTGGGAGATTTCACACAATCCAGATTTCAGGCTTCTCTAAAAAGCTGTGCTGCTGCTCCTGAGATGCAGCCTGGGAGCTCCTCTGAGGCCCAGCTGTGGCCTGCTGTCTTCCACCTGGCCTATTTCCTCAGGCCCGGACTGCCTGGCCCCACACTGAGGAGTTCAGTGGCCTGCACCTGTAGAGGCTGGCAGGGAGACCAGAGATCCACGGCCAACGCACATGAGCTCCTCATCTAGGCAAGCAGAAGCTCCACGCAGCTCCACGGCCACCTGCTGAGGATGGACACACTGCTAGGTGCCAAGTGCTTACCCCCTCAGGGCTGCTGGGATGGCCCAAAGCACTTTGGGTAGGAAGCAAGCACCTCACAGGGCCCTCAGCCAAGCCTCCAAAGTCCTGGAAGCAACAGCAGCCACGAATGCAATTAAAGCTGCAAGTGACCAATGTGACCTGCCAAGGATGAAGTCACAAGGGTGAGCTGGGCCCTAGCAGCCCCTCACTCTGCCCATGACCTTGTGAGAGCAGCCAAGGTCAGCACCCACATGGCCTCCACCCTCTCCTTTTCAGTCGGTTCACCCTCACCTCTGATGTGCAGTCTGACATTTGTCCTGGCAGCACACAGAATACATACTGGTCAGGCAGGATTAAATATTAACAGGCTGCCTTGGATTAGGCAAGTTTCTTAGATATGACACCTAACACACAAGCAACCAAATTAAAAAAAGAAAAGAAAAACTAGACTTCAAAATTAAAAACTTTTCTGCCTCAAGGACAGCAGCAAGAAAGTGAAAAGACAATCCACAGAGTGAAAAAGTATTTGTGAGTCATATATCTGATAAGGGACTTGAATCTGGAATATATATATAACTCTTAAAATTCAATAATAAAAAGACAACCTAATTTAAAAATGGGCAAAGGTTCTGAACAGACATTTCTCCAAAGAAGATACACAAATGGCTAAAAAACACACGCAAAGATGCTCAACATCATTAGTCTTTAGGGAAATGCAAATCAAAACCACGAGATAGGACTTTACACCCACTAGATGGCTATCATCAAAAGATGATTAATTACAAGTACTGACAAGGATGGGGAGAAACTGGAACTCATATTTGCAGCTGCTTTGGGAAAAAAACTTGACAGTTCCTCAAAAAGTTAAACAGAGTATATGATTTTACTCCCAGGTATATATCCAACAAACAAAAAACTTATGTTCATGCAAAAACCTGTATACAGATACTCATAGCAGCACTACTCACAATAGCCAAAAAGTAAAAATGACCCAAATGTCAATCAATTGAAGAATGGATAAACAAAATATGGTCTATTCACACAACAGAATATTGCTCTTCCATAAAAAGGAACAAAGCACTGACAGATACTACAACACGGATGAACCTCAAGAATATGACACAGTGTGAAAAGCAGCCAGTTGCAAAAGACCACATACTGCATGATTCCATTTGGATGAGTTGTTCAGAACAGTGGCAGAAAGCAGATCAGGGGTTGACGGGGGCTGGGGGGAAGCGGAAAAGGGTAACTGCTAATGGGTACAGGTTTCTTCTGGGGGTGATGAAAATGTTCTGGAACTAGATATTGAGTGGTGATGGTTGCACAACCTCGTGAACACACTAAAAGCCACTGAGCTATACACTTTCAAGTGGAGACTTATGACATCTGAATTATATTTCAATAAAAAAATTAAAAGGCTGATTCAGAACCCATTCTGGGTTGTCTAATGACAACCTGGTTAAAAAGAACAGGACAGGTGGAGAAAGAGCCCTTCACACACTACTTTTCAGCTTCATACAGGTAACATATTTATTGAAAATTTTCTTCACCAACGATGGTGAAATCAAGACCCCAAATTACAAAACATGATGGCAGTTGATACTTATAAAAATAAAGCGAAGGTCTATGTTTCACAGATTTGTGCAAGTTTCCTTCAAATTTCAGTCTGTTCTTTCATCAAAAAAGAGATCATGGAATCTATGTTATTTGTCATAATGTAATAGTAAAAAACTGCAATCCATTGACAAAAAAAATAGCTTTGCTTCCAAATAGCACAAGTCTTTAAAGTGACTTTTTCCCCACAATAAATATAGAAAATTGCCTTTAACAAGCATATGTTAGCTTGGTCGGGGTTGTTCCATTTGTCTGAAAAGTACATCCTCCCTCTCATGCAGAAGGGTCCCAGATGGCCTCTCGAAGCTTTCTGCATCTTTGGTGCACACAGCTGCTTGGCATGAAGTCCTCCTCTGGGCTGAGCCACCAATCCCTCCTGCTCAGACCCAAGGCCACAAGACACTTCAAGATATTCCATGAGCCCCCGAGCATCACAGGAGAGGACCATTTAGAACAGACTCCAACAAACCCACAGCTGGAAACTGGATCCCTTTCAACAGGCGGCCTCCCATAGAAACTCCACATTTCCACTTGCCCACCAAAGCGTTCATGAAGGCTCTCTTCAGCTCTGACAGTCAGCAGGTCAGCCAGTCTGACTGTCACACTGAAGGGGTCTTTGGTGGGTGAACCTGCTGCATGAGCTGCGGGCGCTTCACCCTGGGCTTCCGCCTCTTCGGCCTGCTCTTGGCCTTGTTGATTTGTACCACAAAGAAGGCCAGGACCACCATTGCTCCCAGGAAGGCAAAGACAGGAATGGTCTGGCCCACCTCCTGGTTGTAGCGGCCAGGCATTATCCCTGCAAGAGAGAATGGTCAGTAGTGCCACATGACTACTGCTACAGCCTCTTTTCCCGTCAGAGTCAGGTTCATGGAAACTAATGCTAGCTAATTTCATTAGCGCAGTTTGCAGCACAAACGCCACTTTTAAACCTGGGCTGAAGTAACCCAGGCCATTAATGGAGTGTGGGCGAGAGGAGAGCACGGCCACGCCCTGTGTCTGCCGAGCAGCAGCTTCCTCATTGGGGGTAACAGGCACAGGGAGAGCTCTGCTCCTGCTCCTCCCCAGGCTCACCGCAGACACTTAACAGCACTGGCTTTGCTTCTGTCACAGACAGCCTACAAAAGGGGGTCCCACAGGTGCTTTTTGTTTCCCTAAAAGCAACAGAAGATGGACAAGTCTCGATCCAGGGGAGAGGGAGTGTGCTGGTGACACACACACTGGCTGAGTGGGGGGAAGAGGAGGAAGGCGAGGCACAGAGGTAATACAGGACTGCAGGCTGTGTCTTCGCCCTTCTGGGAATGCCCTCCATGGATGGGATGTGTGTTTGAAAACCAGGAGTGGCCATGGAAGGACCCCTGGTTTAGAATGTCAACATGCTGGGGCTGGCCCGTGGCTCACTCGGAAGAGTGCGGTGCTGATAACACCAAGGCCACGGGTTCGGATCCCATATAGGGATGGCCGGTTGCTCACTGGGTGAGCGTGGTGCTGACAACACCAAGTCAAGGGTTGAGATCCCCTTACCGGTCTTTTTAATAAAAAAAAAAAAAAAAAAAAATGTCAACATGCTATTGTAACTGAGCAATGCTGAGGGTTCCAGAATTTACCATCATCGGTGCACCCTGTGGCCTATAGGCAAGGCCTTCAGGATCTTAGCATCACCACACCAAGCTCCCAGGGTTTGACTGATTGGGCCAGGAGACCCCTTCCTGATTCCCAGAGTTTCTGGCCCATTCTTGAAACCTGGAGAAATCTCCCCTTTGGAGCTGTAAACTCTTTGGAAGAGTGCAGGGGGTTCTAGAGCAAAAGAGCTGCACAGGCTGTCCTGGAATGAATTGTCCTAAGTAAGGGAAAATAACCTGTCCCAAGTAGTTTATTCAGGCCAAGAGTCATTATCTGTGAAGGGAACAGTATCAGATCACCTAAGGGGCACACCCCAGCTCAGTTAAGTCTCATCCCAAGCAGGCTAGGGCAGAGGATCAGAGGTGACTTCTGGGCTGAGGGTTCAGAGACCAGGGTGGCTACAGCCACCAGCTGGGACCAACACCAGCAGATGACAGGTGTCTCCTGGGGTTCATAATACATGCTTGTTTACAGAACTTTCATCAAGAGTATACAACCTACTCTGAAAAATTTTAAGTGTAAAACCTGGCCCTCATTAAAGAAATTCAAAATTTAAAACTTATGTACAATTTTCTAGGAGAAAAAACGTCTTAATCTTTCAGGCCCACCTTTGCCCTTGTTTGTTTGTACCACAAAGAGCCAAGACCACAATGGCTCCCAGGTAGGCAAAGACAGAACAGCTGGCCTACTGGAAAAGGGAGGAAGGCTACTTTGAACAAAATATGGTATGACTTAGCACAATAATAAAGCAGTTAAGAACTCACCTCCAGGAATGTCCCAGGCACCACTTTCTCCAGGGGACAAGGGTCTCACTTGAGGGCGATTCGATCGAAAGTTGGGTAACACCACTTTGTCCAGGTCAATGGAGAGTAACTTTTGATGTTTCCAAAGATTACTTCACAAAAATGGATTAAAACAGAATAAAAATAAGCGATTATACCAGCCTAGGAAGCTTAGCCAATACCTAAAGAATAAAGAGCAACCTAAAGAGAAATGTGAAATGTTTCCACCTCTATCTACCTAAATGCCACTGTACAGCTGAATGGCAGTGACTACTTCTGGGTCCCAGGAGAGAAACGTCAAAATTAGGTCCATGCTCATGAGATTTTAACATTCTGAGGAAGGATGAGTTCTACTAGGTTTATAGTACTGCCAACACGAGCCTGTTTTTGCTTAAGGCTGGAAGCATCAGCAAGCAATGCGAGAGGACACTCCAAGTGGACCTCGGAAAGGAGCTTGTGGCCAGGAGGGGCCGCTGAGGTCCTCTGCCATGAAGCCCGAAGCAGTCGGAGCCTGCTTTCTGACCAGCGCAAAACAGCGCAGCAAACGTGACCCCACAACCACCGTACCTAAAGGAGTGGGCAAAATGGTCCTGGGAACCAGACATCCTCTTTGTCCTTAAGGAAACCACGGTTCAGAGGGAGAATACGACAAACATACAAGTGACCAAGCAGCAGAGAGTCTGAACAGCCAAACATGGGACTGGCACTCGCCTTGCCTGGGAGTGGGCTTTGTAAAGGCACTGTACTCTTGGTGGTGACAAGTTACTATTACTGTTAATTTTGAGATGTGAAGAATTTATTCAAGCCAATACAACTTAGAACTGAAGGACACAGAGAGGCTGATATGCTGCAAAGGGCGGTAAAGAGCGTGGGAGGACACCTAGATTAGAGCAACGGATGTGAATGGAAAATCTGAATACTGTTCTGGCTTAAGTGAGGGAAAATAAAATGTTAGCAAATTATGAATTCCCTATTTTTTCTGCTGTTTATTCATTTGGAAGCTGGAGGCCTGTCTCTCTTAGTTTGGCTTTGTGAGAGCAAAGATGTCCAGCTCTAATGGCAATCAGGGGGAAGGTCACTGTGAAGCTGGCAGCTGGCTAGGTCTGGGAGAGGAACAAGAGAAACCAACATGGGATACTCCCAGCCGGGTGACTGCTTGAAAATGCCAACAAGGATTATAACCTATCCTATTGTATACGATATCACTTTACACTTCACGTTTAATGAATCTGAAAATTAAACTGACAATGTTAAGTTCCAGAATCGATGACATTTAGGCTTTATGACTATGTGGCTGGATAAACATGGGCTATATTTTCAATCTACCAGTGATATCCTGTTCTGGAATTTAATTTTTGATGATGGCACTTTCTAGTGAAGCAGTCGTGGTAACAGGACACTCACACTGTCATTTGAGCACTGCACTGTGTGCTGATGAAAGGACACAGGGTCCACCTTGAGTAGGGGTTCCTCCTAAGGCTGACACATCCACAGCTGCTCAAGTGTGGACACCTGGTGCCCAACAAAGAAACTGGGAAATGCCTCCTCATTTCTCATTTCACACCAATGGAAATTTGCCCCCAGCTCTGGGCAGTCAGACATCTGTAGCTGTCTGACACTGGTCTCAAGTCTCTTTTAGTGATTCAGAATATGTCATGATCTAGTCTCTGGGGACCAAGAATAACTCTAATAACATGTAAAATGTGAGATAAATGTGAAATAGGGCAGTGTATTAATAAGGAGAAGAAATTACTAACAGTGATAGTGAAAATCAAATTCTAGGAGCTGTACATTATCAACATCCTTGATGGGTCTGTTCAGCATTTGATGGATTATTTGATGTGGACAGGAAGATACCAGCAGATATTGTCATCGGTTTCTCAGAGTACTGAACCACACTATGGAAAACAGTTGGGTTTCTGGAACGTTAGCTAACACTGACTATTCATTGAGTATGAACCACTGATCATGGCTAGAATACAAAGTCAGGTTTGAATGCAAGGATAATTGTAGGTTATAAACAAGTAGGATATAAAAATGGAAACTTATCAGAAATTTTTAAATGACGGGATGCTAACTAGAATGGAAAAGTACTCAGTGATGGAAGGTTCAGGAAGAAAACTGCCGATGAGAAGATAATGTGATGATTCTACAATTTTCTTGTTTTCTATTAAGCATACTCTAAATGAAGACATATGACGTGTTTAGCACCTTCCGTCTGTGATGAACCATAAAGCAGAAGGAGGCTTCGACGCCTTCCTGCAGGCTACCTCCTCTTCGTTACAGTGCAGACAGTGCCCCTGGGCCCCTGACCCCATATCCCTTGACCACACCAATACCCATCTACAACTGATCCAAGGATAGTGGGCAGCCTCGAGAGGGGGAGGAAGAGGAGGCAGGAGACCTCTCGCTGGGATCCTGCTGCCTGAGGGGGGGCGGGAGGCGAGGAGCCGGTTGCCAGGCAGCCAAGGGGCCCAGAAAAGGGGGTTCCTGCCTGACGGGGGCATGCCTGCCTGGTGAGGATGGTTCTGATAGCTGTCTCTAAGACATCTAGTCCTTGTTTCACTGTACCAGGATCCCACCCTCCTTCTCAGGAGAAGCCCCCATTCTCCCCCTGTACTGTCCTGCCCACAGAGAGAGGGAGAAGGTGCGATCTGGAGAAGGCAGGGACTAGCTGTACTGAGCTGGCTCGTCCTGGCTGAACAGAGAAACAGCGAGGGGAACTCAAGTCTTGGCTGCCAAAAGGAAAGACACAAATTAAGAGGTTAAGTTAGGTGGTGAAACAGAGCAGCAGACGGACTAACACTTTTGGAGCACCACATACAGATGTGCAGTGACAAGCAGACGGAGGTCACGGCCTGTCACTGGATGAGGGTGCTGTCTCCAGCAATCATAATCAGCACAGGCAGTTCATGGCACAGCAGCACACTCTTCTTGGCCAGGCTATAGCGGCAAACCCCAGATCTACTCACAGCAATCTCAGCCCCCCCACCCGGTATGACACAGGAAAGGACCTATCTGTATTTTATAATCAATATTTCAAACGGGAAGCAAATTGCAAATGGCAACACTCAAGTCTCCACCCAAAGGAGTCAGAGCTTCAGTTCAACTGACATCACTCTGTGGGATTACAGCTTTTCAAACAAGAGTTAACTAAATCTAACAAAATGCTAATTATCCAAAGCACTTTTTAAATGCAGAATACCACTGAAGAGCTCATTTCTAAAGGTCAATATGGGGGTTTAATTTAAATAACCATCACAAAATGACAAAGGTAGAGGATTTGATTATTTAATAATGATGTCAGTAAAATTCCATTCTCTCCTATTAAAAAAAAAAAAAGTAATGACTCAGAAGCCCTGCAGAAAGAGTAGAAAAGTGCAGGCAGACTCTAACCTGGGTGCTGTCTCATTTAAAGGCTGTGGCTTGGCCCAAGACAAGTGTGGACAGGCTGGCAGAGGCCGAGGTTTTGGGTCTCCCAGATGGGCCTCAAGAACCTTGGAGTACCGATGAAGATGGTTTCCTATGGGCAGCAGCAATATCAACAAAAAAGGAAATCACTGTCATTAAAATGCAAGGAAAAGCATCCGACCTTCCTAGCTTCTGTCTGCTTTCCTGCCCAAGGGCCTGCTGTGCTCTGTGAACCTGTCACCTATGTGTTTTAGAGCCACACCCGACTGTCCCCAGACCTTGCTGAATGTAGGAGAAAGAGATCAGAATTGCCCCCTTTAAAGGGCCATACTGCATGCAAAGTGCTGGCTGGCGAGCCTTGAGGAATCTGAACTACAGATAGACTTCATGGAAAAATCTTTCTTTTCTGAAATATTTAATTCTCTGGCCCCCCAAAATATCTGCACTTTCAAAATTCCTTATATTTCTTAGATCTGCGCAATCCAATACTGCAGCCACTGGCCGCAGGTGGCTATCAAGCAACTGAAATGGGTTAGTGTCACATGTTTAAACAATATATATATATTTTTTTCCTTTTTGTCTTTTTTCGTGACCGGCAACGGATCGCAACCCTCAGTGTCGCGCCCGTACCGGACCAGGACCGGCAATGGGATAGCAACCCTCGGTGTTGCTCCCGCACCTCGCTCAGCCAGTGAGCGGCCGGTCTGTATGTGGGATCCGAACCCTCAGCGGGAGCGCCACCGTGCTTCCCAAGCGGCGCACTATAGCAGTGCGCCACCGGGCCGGCCTAAACAATATTTTTGATGTATCTGGCTAAAGTATATAATTAAAATGAATTTCACCTGTGTTCCTTTTTACTTTTTTAATATGGCCACTGAAAAAGTTTAAGGGACATCTGTGCTCACATGACACTTCTACAGACGGTGCTGCAGGGATCAAATATTTTGGACATGGAGGCACTTGGACCTGCACTGCTATGTGCAAAGCGGTCAGAGGCCCCGCAGAACCAGCACGGTCCACGAAGTTGAGCTCCAGGTTCCACTGCTAACCCACCAGGGTGACCTCAGGCAGTCACTTAACCTCTCTCAGCTCCTGTTCCTTCATCTGCAAACTGGAAATAATAGTATCCATTTTCACAGGATCTCCGAGAGGAGTTAGTGAGGCAATCAATCCATGTGAAGCACCCCAGCCTAGTGAGTGCTCAAAAATGATGGGGATTCTTCCTGAAGACCCCCAGGAGCAGTGCCATCATCTGTGAGCGAGGGATCATACACACAGACTGGGAGTGGCATATGGGTGAGGGAGAGTGGGGGAAGCACCTGCACACAGCGTCTGTGTCCACCCTGAAATGTGGGACCAGCCACTCTGTGGGTAGAGCCACCAAGTGCTAGTCCATGCAGCCACTCAGAAAAGCACTCAGTAGCACTCACTAACGGGCTCCGTTTGCTGGCAAGCACGGCCATTTCCTGAAGCAGCATCATAGCACGCTAGACCCAACTACCCTCCCTGAGGCATCGTGTGGCCACTCACCTTCCATCCTCTCTGGAGTGACAGAGCCCACTCCACTGGGAGGGCGCTGCCGGTTCCCTGAATGACTGAGGCTGGGAGGTGTCACCCCATACGACGTGTACTGCAGGAGTGCATCCAGCAGCCAAAAGCAGTCTGCAGACAAACAAGAGCTCTGTTTGTTAAAAAAGAATCTCTACAGAAAAATAAAGTTAGCTCCCAAAAAGAGAGGAAAAATGGGACTGCAGAAGTGGGAAGCTGAGATCAAAGTAAATCTGCCATATTCCAGGTTCCCCTGTCCTCATAAAACATGCATTCCCCACGATGAGCGCCATAACCCACAAAGACCAGCACGTACAGGCACGACCTCGCCGTGGGCTTCATGCCCAGCATCCCAGGGCTCCGGCAGGTCGGCACAGCTGTGCACTGGGCTGGACCAACTGCCTGAGTGTCACACTAGGCTCTGGGCTCCTCCCGGACGAGGACTGATCAGAGCTCATTCACAGACAGCAAGACCACATGACACCCACTGAACAGCCTTGAGAGCAAGGACTCGAAGGCACAAGGGGGAGAACAGAGAACATGGCTTCTCCAACACCCCCATGGCTCTCCTGGGGAGAAGGAACTGGACTTACACTATGAGGGCACACACCACAGGGAGGATGGTTCTACGCCAACACAAGTGGAGAGTCTATTAATCTGAGTTGGACTTTGAGTCAGTGGGCCCAACCACAAAAGTCTGAAAGCAGAGAATGGCCAATTCTTTCACGGGGACATCTCAAAGTCTAGCTGCCGGGCTATCATCAGCTCCCATTCACAGAGCCGCACAGACAGATCCTTCCTATCAGGAGACTGAAGATGTTACACTATACTTAGACCTGGAATTTCTGTTTCCATATTGTTTCTTCCCATGTCTGCCCACTTCAAGTCCCATTAACGCCAACTTAGACTACAATCATGAGAGAAAAAATACTATTAAGTACTTATCTATCATTCAAGAATACTTCTGGTCAAGTGCTTAAAGCCCCTAAAAGATCCTAAAAGCTGCCATTTGAAAGTTAAGGATCAGGACAGTCCTCTCAGGCATTTAAAATTTTAATAAATGCTCTTACCAGGAGATCTCAGGTATTAAAACATTAATCTATTTTCCACTGTGACTTTAACCTTTGCTTTTGATTTTTAAAAGGATTTTTTTTTTTTGATTTATGTAAAAAGGATTTACATAAATGCTAGGAATTTAGGCAACTGCAGTTAAAATCATAGAGGTGCAAAACACACCTCTCGACTCTGGCTCTCACAGCCTCGGTCTTTTCAGTGCAGCCTGTCCACCACTTGCAAACATTAGGGTATCGCCCACTACCATTCCATTTCCTCCTTCATAAAGTGAGGAAACAGTCTGTGCCCAAGCTCAAAACTCCCAATTTGGAGGATGCATCAAGGACTAAAAAAGAGGAGGGGTGGAAGAAGACAAGTTTGCCCCTCTTTGTGTCCCCTTCACAGGGATAACAGCAAATGACCCTCACAGATAAAGGCTCACAACAGCCCGAACACCCAAGTCTGGGAGGAGAGCCAAGAAAGAGTGCGGCCCTCCAGGAAGATCAGAGAAGGGCGCCCCCATGTGGCAGTGCCTGTGAAGTACAGACACCCCAGAGGGGGAAGACCTGTAAGCTCAGAACCCAAACCTGGCAAAGGGGATTCCCTGCTAAAATGTGGTGATCCTAGCCTCCACTGGCCTAAGAATGGCAAAGACGGAGAGGAGACATCATGGCCTGTAAAAGTGGTTTTGTCTTGCTTATCATGTGTGTCCAGACCTAGGTACCTAAGGATATATTCCAAGCAGAGTGACTAGGACTTCTCCAGCTCTCCCTGGCTCACATGAGCAGGTGCCAGTTTATTTTACCAGCATCTTACCAGTGCCTTTCCAATGACAAAGGGAGGAAAGGATATGTCAAGCCCATTCGGGTTTTACTTACCTTTCTGTCGGTGACTGTCATCTAAGCAATTGGAGTCTCCATATAGTACAATCCGGCCGCCACCCTCTGCTGGAATCTGGTAAAGTCCCAAAATGGGGATATTTTCAACAACTGCTGTTTCCTGTTTCAAAACCTCCAATCCTGAAACAACACAACAAAAACAGCAATGAGAGTTTTTGTCGAGAAAGGAATTATTTTCCATTTGCCACTTGAGATTTAATCCATAGAACAAATTTTAAAATTAGCAAAATCTAATATTTGATCAAAGTAATGCAAACTTTTAGAATAGGAAAGCAATGTGTTAAGTGCCATTAATCTGGGTTTCAGCAAAATTCACTTGTATGTGTATTTCCATATCCATCCTCTTTCATTTTCACTTGAAATGGTGGTACATAACATTTACAATTCTAAAGATGTCAGTTCTCCCTTTTTATCCTAAAAAAACAAATTTTTGTCCCGTCTTATGCTGAAAGGTTTATGTCTGCAGACTGCCTATACAAGGAGCAGCCAGCAGCTCTTGCTAAACATGTAGGTATCTCTACAAATACAGTATATACAAAATAGTGATACCCAGGTTTTGTGTTTTGCTATTAAAAGCTAGGACAAATGTAATCAATTTTAAAATGTGTCCACATAATATTTTCAATTTAGATTTAAGATATCTGTCACATTAATTTCACAAGTACAAATGTTCCAACAGCAGAGAGCCTTCTTACCTTTGCTTAAACAGATGACACAATTTAAAATGTCTAATGAATCAAGAAGTCAAAAATGTATAAACACCACGGGCAGCAATTGTCAGTGGCACGATAATGTAATCAGAGTCTCTACCCCTAAAGCAAATGCTTTCCTTAGCACTAGATGACACAAATCGTCACCAGAATGCCTGTAGCTATACAGACACATTTCCTGCTCTCTGTGTATAATCCCACTTGTAGCTGAGCAGAAGAAAAAACACAATTTTCTTTGGAGGGAAGGAAAGACAGAGCAGTAAAAAAGATGAAATGGGGGAAATACACACTGCATTGCCATTTGGCTTTGTGGTTTGACAGAATTTTGTTTCTGACAGTAGTATATTTTTTTATCCAGAATATCCCAAATTCCTATTTTCAAATTCCTATTTTGTACCCCCATAATTATTCAACTTAAAGTCTTTATGGAAATAAAAAGCCTCTTAAAAAGAATTTCAAGGTAATTCATTTTTATTTCAGACTGTACCAGAACACCACAACAAAGTGTGCATCCTTAAATCCACTTTTGATTCCTCCCCCCATCCCCAAAGCAATGATCTCCCAGAGGACAAGAAACCACTGAGGAGAGCACTGTTTTACCCCTTGCTCATACCCAGTACCAAAAGGGATACTGCCTGTGAGAAATGGCTTCTAGAAAGAATCACAATCCCATGGTAAACTGTGCCAAGTGACTGCAAAAACACAATCCATGATTAAAGTTAAAATATAACTATAAAAACAGATCCATTCAGTGACTGACCTTGCTTTGATGAAAGAAAAAACCCTTCCATGTAATACAAAAAAAAAAAATTCTATCTTGCAGTTTCAAATAGATAAGTTGAGAAATCCTACCTTTTCATCATTTTCAACTAATAAAATTGTCCCTAACTTGCCATCACAGAGAACAGCACCCTTTACAATGGAGGGGGCCTCTCATTCTGACATACATAATATCAACTTGCGTGAGGAAATGGGTCTATCTTGCACATTTTCATAAGCCTGTAACAATCTCATGGCTCTTGGCAGAGGGGAGAGTAGACGCACATGGTTCAAAATCACAGTTATGGAGTGACAGGCCACAGGAAGGATGTCCTGTGGTTTCTGCTCACCCATCCTTACTCTCCTACACCCAGCTTGAAAGAAGGCAGAGGCAGCCCACCTCGCTGCCACTCCTCCCCTGCTCACAGGTGGGCTGTGCACACGAAGCACATGACTGTATCATGGGTGCTAATTCTAGGCCTGGGGTTCTCTAGGGTGACAGCTTTCTGAAGCTGAAGCAAAACTAAAAGGGAACACTATTCTTGAGAGAATTTTAAGAGACTACTCTATAATTAATGATTTTTTTATCTTTATATAGTTAAGAACATCAAAACATGGTCAAAATATTTCTAAAATCTTGTAATCTAGAAATCATAGAAGCAGAACAATTCACAGACAGATAGTAACAAAAAATTCAAGTAACTTTGAAGGTAGTTTTAAAAAAAACCTACAAATAAATATTTTTGTCTTTCTCCTGAGGAATTTGACTTCTTTTGCAGTGATCACTATATACATATATTCAAACTATGAGCAGGATTCTATCTTTGTATGCCCCAGAGCCCCTACAAGGCTAAGGTAGGTACTACACAAATAATACAATATATTTTAAAAGAAAGCAAAACTTCTAATGGGTATGGGACTTCTTTTAGGGAGCGATGAAAATGTTCTGGAAGTAGACAGTGGTGATGGTTGCACAATTTTGTGAATTCACTATAAACCACTGAATCGGACACTTTAAAATGGTAAATGTTGTGGTATGTAATTACATACTATAAAGCTGTTATTAAAGGGGGAGGGGAGGAAGAAACGAAAAAGCCTACAAATAGCATCCTTTACCTTGATCCTTGAAAGTCTGCGTTATCACTATGCCATCTTCTGGGAATTTAGCGATGCTGCATCCTGACGCATAATACACTAGAAAATAGTTGTTCAAAGTTACAGGAACACTGAACACTTTAATCAACAGCTACCAATTTACCCCAAATGCATTCTTTAGATATTATATACTTTTAAAAATTGTTTTTAATCTTAAGAGAAGAGCTGCTACTGCCTTGTCACACTTAAACTACAAGTATTCACCTCAAAATTCAAGTAAAAATATTACTAACAATGTTTCTGAATAGGTTTTATAAGTCAGAGACTCAAAACAACCTAAGAACTTGCAGAATTAGTAACAGTAATGTTCAAGATGTTGTTCTAGAAACTAGTTACCCAAAACTTATCTATATGGAAACCTCTTAAATATTTGAGATATGCAGTTATTTCATACACAGAACTTTATAATCAGGAACCTATAGGATATTTCCTATTTGGGAATATATAGTGTATAAAGACTCTTACAGGTAGCAGTAAAATTAGGAATGCCTACATATTTTCATTTAAAAAATCTGGACAAACTAGATTAAACAGTTTTATAAATATACTTTTTGAAAATACTGATGAGTTCTTTCCATAGACTTCAGCTTATTTAAGAGTCACATCATTCTTTCTCTGAAACTTAGACTTCAAAGACACATAGCTTCTGCTCTCACACCTCTAGGAATAACATGCTCTTACAAAACACAAACACAAACACAAAACCGTACTGTCGTGGTTTGCCAAGGTAAACTCCCCTTCATACAGGCCGTCACTGAATGCCATATTCCACACAGACAGAAGCTCATTCAGAGCTGGGATATTAGCTCCTCCAGTATCCGGCATCCACCACTGCCTGTAAAAGTGATCATAGGCACAGAGAATGAAAGAATTAAAACACCCCATATACACTTAGTCTCTTCATGACAAAACTAAATTTCTCTGCCACAATCCAGTCTATCCACACTAAGGTTTCAACTGAAACTGTTTGGGTTTAAGTAATACTGCAAATGTAAATGCTTCAACCAATGTATAGAATAAACTAAAGCTAATTTATTTTATGAAATGAAAATCAGTACTTAAGGATTCCCAATGTATCATAAATACATAATAACTTACTGGAAGTTTTCTTTAAATAACAATTCCTTTGGTTCATTTAAATTGGTATATATAAAGTAATACCAAGTTCTCTGAACGTCTCTCTCCTAACTGGAAAGACCACCAAAAGGCCAAATAGTCACTTAAGTATTTGCTGAGTAAAACGTAATTCCCAGAGTCACATATCTTATCCAAATACCAACTCATATCAGTACCTTGTGTTTTCATCATAAAACTTCACTTTTCTCATAACGGAAGTGTTGTACCAGTCACTGAAGACAATGAGCGAAAGACCATTGTCCACGTCCCTCCTCAACTTGGCAATCTCTTCAGGGAAATACTCCTCTTCGCTGTCCACCATTAGCAAAGTGCCTGACAGACAAAGTGCTTGGTTTGAGAACTGTCACCTATGAACCACAGGGTATCACGGTTTCAGAAACAGTATTTTACTAGGGTCCATATCTCAAGTAACTGACTCCCAATAGTCTGCTTGGTGTAACCCGGGACCACTTTAGAAAGGGTTTAAAATAAAGGATCAGGGACCAACTAATTGTGGCCTTTTGTTTTCATCTGTGGTACCCAATATAAAGATTTTTCACTCACTCGAGAAAGAGTAAAATACAGTGCTAGAGCCTCTTCTAATTAAAAACAAAAACAACAACAAAAAAGAGTTAAGATGTCTTATCTCAAATCAGTCTGATAGTTGTGTATTTCAGCTGAATGTCACAACCATCACCAACAAGTAGGAATGTGCTCCATCTGTTCCAGAGCCCTGTCCCTGTCCTCCACTGGGACATGCAGACCATACACGTGCTCTATTGGCCTATTATCACAACTGTGATTCACTTCTCAGACATTTAACAAACATCCAACTTAAGCTGAAAGAACATCTGGCTGGCATATCACTGTTGCTTACCATACTGACTGGCATCAAAACATGTAAAGGGGGAGCCAAGGACTTCCACAAAGTAGCCCATGCTTCTCAAATGTTGGTACATGTCCCTGAAGTTTGTGTGGATGTGATCACCATTCCTGAAAAACAATAAGCGGTGACATTAAAATGATCAGTCTTTACTTATATAAAGGCCTATCTAGCTAGCCACAGGATTAAGTTTTGAAACCAGGCTGCCTCTGAAGGAACACAGCGTGATCACCAGCGAAGAAGGCCTGGAAGGTCCAGTCCTCTGGCATAGTGGCCTTACCAGACCTGCATTCTCTGGGCTGGACATATAAAACTGGGTGACAAGAAGAAACCATGTGCATGGAAGGTGCACAAAAGAGATAAAATGACAAGAAGAAATGGCCAAAGAACATGTTTTTGAAAGTACACTGAAGCATCACTTGAGCAGGGGCATTCGTGTAACAGCTAACACCATCTGTATCTGACAAATCAGCTTAGCACGTGGCCGTGGGAATACAGAGACAATGGAACAAGCCACCCAGGGCAAGCACACTAAGGTGACAACATACGGCGAACCGGATATCGTTGCCTTTCTGTCCCTCTCCCTCCCAAACACGCTCAATTTCCCACTGTACACCCTTCCCAAATGTCCCATGGAAGAACGCAGGGGCCACCCTCGTGCCACCTCCTCCACAGCACTGATTCGTGTGCTCCTCTGCAGACCTGCAGCCCTACCCAGGTCCATCAACTCCCAACACTTCTTGTCACCTGCCTCTGGTTTCAGTCTCTCCAATTTCCCTCACAGAGACATCTGTTTTAAAAGGCAAATCTGACCCTGTAAGTATGCTGCTCGATAGTTTCAATGCCTCTCCTTCTCCCCATTTTCAGTGTCGAGTCTAAACTCCTTTACTTAACACGAAGGCAGAAATGACCTTGGCTTGTGGGTCAAGATTCAGCCCAGCGGCCCTGTAGGAAACAGGGGCCCGGGAGATGGGTGTGTGAGGGAAACAGCGCTAGATCCTGGAGGGTTGTGGAGGTCACACCAGGAGGTGTGGCCACATGAGGAAGTCTGAAAAGGCAGCCACTGGAGAGTTTGTAGAAAATCATCATAGAATTAATGTTTTAAGAAGATTACCAGGGCTGCTACATCGGAAATAGAACTTAGGGGAGCAAGAATGACAGGGGTGAGACCCGTTAAGAGACAACAGGTGCCATCCAGGCAAGAGACGGCGATGGCTGGGACTAGGGAGGGAGCAAAGGTCAGCCATGGAATGACTCAGGATACAGTGAAGGCAGGACCAACTGGCCTTGCTGATTGACTCAAAGGGAGAAGTAAGGGTAAGAGAGCAATTAAGGATAACTTCAAGGTTTTACTCACAATTATTTAATTATAGTTGTGAGAGTTTCAAAGGAGCATAACAAGGACCTACAAAGTTTAGAGATCACAGAAGTCCAGGCTCAAAAAGAAGCTGAGCAACGCCTTCTCCCCACAGAAGCAGGAGCAGTGGTGCTGAGTCCCACTGCGGAAGGGAAGAGCACCTGAGTTTAGTGGCTGCTTACCAGTCCAGAGGGTCATTCTTCATCCTTAAATTGTCCCTGGGGAAATAGCCAGGTGGATAGCGGAGATTGTGGTACTGATCCCAGAGAACTCTCTTGCTTCGAGGCGGAGTAGGAATTATCTTCACCTTAATCGGGAGCTTCACCGTGGAAGTCTGTTCTGCACCATTTTTTGACTTAAAAAAAATAGAAACTTGACATGTACCTCTGCCAAGAAAAAACTTCCAGGTTTTCAGATTTAAAAAAACCATCTCTATTTACCAATTTAACTCAAATAATGTGAACACTAGAATTTCCAGTAACAACATGTGTGTGATGGAACAGTCATGTACTACATTAATCCCTTTCACACTCTCAATAGTTAAGACTTAAAATTTAAGGCACTTTGTTCCTAAAAACTAGTGGAGCCACAGAGTATTAACCCTACATTTCCTTTTAGAGAACACATATTTTTGGTGCATGCATTTTGAGCTGAAAATGTGGCACTGAACAGTCCTCTCTGCTGCTGTGAGGCAAGAGACCAGAAAACACCACTGCCCATTTACTGGGCTGGCAGAAACTCCAGTTGCTCTGGAGGCCCTGGGACCATCAGTGATTGCCTTCTAGGCTAATTCCATCTGTCTTGGGCCTTAAGCCAAGACCCCAGGCATTAAGCCTACCCTCTTCCTGGCTGGTGATGGTAAAAGGTCCAGAAAACCAAGCCACCTCCCTGGCACACCCTTACCTCCATCTCTGCTGGGGAAGCCACGGTTATCATTACATGACCCTGGGCAATGCCTTCCCAGGAAGCCGCTTTCTTGGTTACAGAAATGGAGATGGCCAGGTAGCCTGACCAAGGCCATAACACAGAAGAGTAAGAGAAAGCGACTTCAATGTTGTCTCCGTTCTGCGGTAAATAGGGCTGCCAATCAGGCTGTAGGAAAAAGAAATCAAGCAAAGGCTGATGCAAAATGCTCTGATAGAAAATAGTTGGAAGCCAGTTAGACCTCAACTCCCAAGTTACTTACATCAATTTTAGAGAAATATTTCATTAAACAAGGAAAAATTAAATTTATACAAAGAAACTAAGTAACCTATAACCAAAGTAGTTATGGACTGTCTAGAACATATCCACTAGAAAACTCTAGAAACCACTATTTCTGACAGCCTCCAATTTTATGGAGGTTTTTTTTCTCTTAAAAACTAGGGGGTGGGAGGGATGTACATGTCTTTGATGTGTGAACTTTGATGAAGAACTTTTATATGACTAGAGAACTTATATATATGAAACTCTCAGATTTGAGGTTAGATCCCAATTAGTTGGTATGCTTAAAGAATCACATTAATTGAAAAAAAATAAAATGACGTGGACACCAACTGTCCCCAAGCAAATTCTGAAGCTAATGATGGGCAGCTGCAGGAAGGGCTGGCTTCGTTGTAAGGTGATACCCTTTCCGTCCCTCCCAGGTTTGAGGAAATCAAAAAGGGAAGTGTGAGACGAGACCACCTGGAAGAAAAATAAATGAGCTCTTATAACTAACCAATATTTCAAGTGAACCTAAATTACTCATTTCCCTCACAAGCCACACAGCAAGAACAAACTCCCAAAGTGAGTCAGCATATCAAAAAAAAATTCTGAAAAGAAAAATATCTGTAGGATACAGCGTCACAAACAATGAAGAAGGAAAGGAATTTTTAATGAATGTTCTTGGGACCACCAGCTGGCAACTGATAAAAAAGTTAACTTTTGTCCACCTTATACCACATATCAAATTAACACAGATGTAAAATTAAATATTTAATAATCATATAAAGGAAAATTAGTAGAAAAATAAAATTGAGATTTTATATCTCTGGAGGGATAAGTTTCCAATGGAAGAAACCACAAAAGATGAAAATCCAACTCTATGAAAATGTAAAACTTGTAGAGAAGCAAATAAAATTTAAACCCACCAAAGTAGTAGTAGAGGGAAACAATAATAATAACCTGGGGGAACGTTTGTGCATAAAACACAGCAATGGTTAATTTTTCTATTACAGGAAGATCTGTTAGGATAGGGAAAATCCAAATTCCAACAGGAAAACAGGCCAAGGAAATGAAAAAGTAATTCACACACAAGAGGAAATACAATTAGTAAACAAACCTGGAAATATCCACTTCCACAAATAAGGTGCCCATTTTACCCCCTCTAAATGTAAAGTTAAAAGATGTGCCACCTAGAAAAGCCAAACGCCCATCAACAGATGAACAGATAAACAAAATGTGGCATATTCATACAATGAAATATTACTCAGCCATAAAAAGGAGTGAAGTAGTGATACATGCTACAACATGGATGAACCTTAAAAATATTGTGCTGAGTGAAAGAAGCCAGTCACAAAAGAACAAATGCTGTAGGATTCCATTTATATCAAATGTCTAAAACAGGCAAACCCACAGAGACAGAAAGCAGACTGGTGGTTTCTAGGGGATAGGGGAGGAGGGAATGGGGAATGACTGCTAATGGGTATGAGGTTTCTTTTTGGGATGATGGGAATATTCTGGAATGAGATGGCACAATGTTGTGGTTATACTAAAGACCACTAAATTGCACACTTAAAAAGAGTGAGTTTTATGGTATGTGAGTTGAATTATATCTCAATTTTTAAAAAACTCATGGAATAATTAAAAAAAAAAAAAGATTAACCAGTGCAGGCATGGTGGAGACATCTTCATCCTGAATACCAGAAGCAACCTAAGCCAATATAACTCTCTTAGAAAGAAATTTGTGGTACGTGTAAATGGCCATAATAATGTTCACGCCCTTTGACTCAGGATTCCAATCCACAGAGTTTATGTTAAGGAAATAATTCAGAAGAAAACTATATACGCAAAGATAATCAGTGAAATGTTTATAGTTGAAAACCACCTAATTGTTTAAGCAAGGAAAAATAGTAAACAAATCATAATTTATCAATGCTACATAATTTTAAACAACCATTAAATAGTACATGAGTGTTGTGCATATACTTACATTTTTAACATTTACAATATAATGAGAACTGAAAAAAAAAAGATGAAGTTTTTGCCTATGGCACAAAGATAAAAAATATTTTTCAGATAAGGGCTGGAAAAGAATACTTATTTTAAAAGTAATGGCTATGTTTTGGGGCTGGAAGTAAGTTTTCTATTCTCTTTTCCTATCCTTTACTGTTGTGATAATGGCTACACAGTAAATATTTTTAAAATATATAAAAACTAAATTCAAAAGAAAGATCATCCCTTCCAAACATGATGGCCCATTTGTGCTCATTAAGGAATAAAACAATTACAAATGGGCTTTCAATTATAGGCAGGAAACTGTATAGATGAATCAAATAAAATTAGCTGATTCAAGAGCCAAACTCAAGATGCTGAAGCCAAAAAGTAAAATTGGTTTCATTAATTTATACCCTGACTTATTCTGTAAAGGACTCAGTGTATAACAAATCACTACTTCCAACAGTTCTAGGACCCTAGACAAGAGAAGAAAACCCTTCCTTTTTTAACTTCAGGAGAAATAACTAAGGCTTAAAGGTCTGGGCCATGTCTAAGTTCACCACCAAGTCAGAGACCAAATCAGAGAGAAATATCACCTTATCTACAATTCTTCCTGTGACTCCCATGCCGTTGAGGATGGTGACATTAACAATTGTTGGCATTCCTCCATAGTAGATGGGCTGGGAGCAGTAGGGCCACATGTAGGGACACTCGGTCAGATCTATGTAGCTGGGGCTCAAACTGAAACAAAGAATACAGTGTTAGAGGAGACCACATTAGAAACTACAACGAAACAATACAGCTGGGTAGGAAAGAGCTGACACAGCAGACCTCAGCTTTAGAAAGACCTGCTTGCAGGGCTGCCCTTGGCTGGCATCTGGGAATTTGGCTTTGGAATGTTCCTGTACTGGTAAGGCCACTGTGCTAGCCTGCTAGACTGTTTGTTCAAATAGTGTGATGTATGAGGAATGCCTCTTTCCTCCTACAAGTCTGGAGCTTTGGTAGTTATGGCTGGCAGAGAATTATTATGTGAACAATCCCAATGGAAACACTGGACTCAAGTCTCAGGGGGCTTCCCTGGACAGAAACACACACACATCAATGCAGTTTGCTGCTGGGGAAAGGGGCCAGCTCTGTAAGCCCCTGCCTGGCAGATGGAAGGGAGACAGCTTAGGAAACCTAAGAGCCTGGATTTCTCCAGACTCCTTCTCCCTACCATGTCTTTTTCCCTTACATACCCTCCATGCTTCCTTGTTGTGCCACGTAATGAACTTCTCTGTGAGTACGACCACAGGCTATGTCCTCCCATGAGTCCTTCTAGTAAAGAACTGAGCTTGGGACTGGTCCTGGGGACTCGGACATAATTGGTGCCAGAAGTGTCTGGCCATTTTGTTTGTTTCATGGTTTCCCCTTATCTGAAATGAATTTGTGTTGGGTTAACATCATTCCTAGCACAGCAAGGGTAAAAAGACAGGAAAGCAGGCAAGGGCTTCCGCAGACATGACCCAAGATGACCTCACTTGGAACGTTGGGTATACATGAACCTTGCTTATCAAGCTGCATTGTGTTCAGCCAGCATGCAATCCGGCTTGATTGCTTCATCTTATTAAGAATGTCTAGCATATCTTAAACACCAACCAGAGGAAGAATATTTTACATTAGTTCATTATAACAAAGATTCATCTGGGGCAACTGAATTACAATATTAAAAACCAAACAGAGTATCTTTAGGATACTGTGCCTTTCAAGGGCAGTTATAATCAACATGTACCACAGTTAGTCATTTTAAATAGATACCACGTACTTTAAAAATCCTGAGTGGGTTAGCCATGAGGCTACCTTTGTATAAACCAGCAAAAGTACCTGTCTTACCTGAAACATGTATGTAAACTTTGCTGGTACCTGTGCTCTATAAACAGTTTAACTCAACTAACAAATCATTATTAGCAAATAGAATTCAACACCTTATTAAGAAAATAATACACTACGACCAAGTGGGATTTATTTCGGGAATGTACAGATTGGTTCAATATTAGAAAATTCATAAATATCATATGCCATATTAATAGGTCCATACTGTTCATACAAATCTTTATGAATGCTGAAAAAGCTTACGAAATTGAATGCACAGTCCTGATGAAAAACACTCAAGAAAACAGCAATTGATGGATAATCTCCTATTGTGATAAAATACATACGCCTTAGTCATAAAGCAAGCACCTTATTTACTGGGGAAACACAAGCAGCGTTTCTACTGAGATGAGGAACACCACGAGGATGCTCACTAAATCCATTGTTATGCGACACCATGTAAAATTAACATATAGAAATAAAATCAACCAGTTAGAGGATATAATAGGAGAAAACCCTATCTACAATAGCAACAAAAAGATTAAATACTTAAACTTACCAAGAAATGTGTAAAACCTATAGGAAGACAACTGTAAAACCTCTTGGAAGACAAAAAAGACTCGAACAAATGCAAGTACATCCTCTGCTCTTGAACAAAATAACTCAACAGTTTGAAAACATCACTTATAAGTTCATTTAAAATTTGATGTGATCCCAGTAAGAATTCCAACAAGCTTTTTTTATGGAATTAGATAAACTGATATGAAAATTCATATAAGGGCTAGATGGTTAGCTCGTTGGTTAGACCAAGGTCAAGGATTCAGGTTCCCATACCAGCCAGGTGCCAAAAAGGAAAGAAAGAAAAATTTATATGAAGAAAACATTCAAGAATAGCCAAGAAAACACTATTTAAAAAACTACAAGGGGAACTAGCCCGACCAGATGCTAAAACATGCTATAAAGCCTTTATAATCAAAACATTATGGTGCTAGTACATGGACAGACAGACCAGTGGAATGGAATAGAAAGCCCAGAAACACATCCAAATACATATAAAAATTTAGTGCATGATAAAGATGGCTTCTCAAGTCACTGGGGCAGAGATGGACTATTTAATAAATGGAGCTGTAACAAATGGGTGGCCACTTGGCAAAAGATGAACTTAGATCCACACCTTACACCATACACAAGAATAAACCCCACGTGGATCTGGGAGTCTCAAGTAAATAAAAGAAAGCACACAAGTATTAGAAGAGACCATGGATAAATTTCTTTTACCTCACTCGGTTCAGAGAACGGCTTTCTAGGACTCAAAATCCAGAGGCGGCAATAGGAACAAAAGACTTAACAAATTTGACTGAGACAGACAGACAGACTGACTGACTGAATAAATGAATAAATAAATAAATTACTGCATTGCAAAAAACACCTTACACAAAATCAGAAGACAAATGGCAAATGAGGAGAAAGATCTGAAACATATCAATGGCAATAGGCTACTAACCCTGATACATAAAGAATTTAAAACTGAGGGACCAAAAACCTCATGAAAAATAGAAAAAAGGAATGAACAGTCAATTCACAAGAAAGAAAGAAGAATGGCCCTTAAACACAGACAAAGTCTTCAAACTTACTCATTACTAGAGAAATGCAAATTAAAACAATACTGAGACAACGTTTCTCACCTATCAGACTGGCAAAGAAGTAACAAGTATGACAGAACAGTCTTTCCATGAGCCTCTGGGGAAACCAGCACTCACACACTGCTGGTGGAATGCAAACAGGCACAACCCTCTTGGACGGAAACACAGCAATACCTAACAAAGCTACCTATGTACTTAACTTTGATTCAGCAATGCCACTTCTAGGAACTCACCTTGAAGAAACACCTCCAACAAAACTAAGAAATACAGGGACAAGGTTATTCATTGCAACAGTTTATAATTACGAAACACTGGAAACAACTTAAACACCCATATGTAGATAAGTGGCTAAATACACATTGGTACATTCATACAACACAGCTGTAAAAGAGGAGGAAGAAAATACCTATGCATGACATAAAGTGATTCCCAGGATACTGTTACGTGAAAAAAGCAAAGTACAAAAGAATATCTACAGCAATGCTATCCTCCTATGTATCTGCTTATTTGTGCAAAAAGGAATTCCAGAAAGATTAACCAAAAACTAATGTGACTGTCACAAGGGGAGCATTGAAACAGGGTGGAAAGAATGGGGGAGTGGGAACAGGTACACCTCCAGAAGCAGTTCTAACCTCAGAGCCAAGGCAACTTCTCGCATGCTCAGAAAATGATGGGGACATGCTGAAAAGACACAGAAGCCATCTAGAAAGAGCTCCCAATAGCCAAATGAGGAACAATTTGAGCAACAAACTAAACAGTCATATTATGGATTATAATCAATCCATAGAGTAAATCAAATATCCATGTGTCCATACTGATATAAATGACTGAATAAAGGACAGCTCTTCCTTCCAGCAGAATTCCAGTTAATAAATGCAACAGGAATGAGGGGAATAGAAAATCACCATATGTGAAACTCCTCAGGAGTAATCACTACAGGCAAGAGCCACCAATAAATGCTAAAATTAGTGAATGAAAGTATGTTAAGATCTTAACAGGATAATCTCAAAGCACACCCCCATAAGACACTTAGTTACAAAGGGTAAAACGGTAGCTGTATGGGGGAGAAACCTGGCAGATGACACCTAAGGCCCCACAGAGCCATGCTGCTCAGACTCCTGCTACAGGAGCACAGCCAGCTGACACCACCAGCTGACACCCCGTGGATGCCCCACCATGTCCGTGCCAAGGCCACATTTACCCCCGGGCTGCTCTTGGCTAATGGCTAAGCAAAGAGGGGTCCTAGGGCAGGCCCATTTCCAAGGGACACAGGAATCCTCTAGTAGGAGGAGACTTTGTTTTTGTTTTTTCAGACAATTGTGTTTTTTTTGTTCTTTATTCTATTGATATAGTTCATTACATTAATTGGTCATGGTATATAATTTTTTTTTCTTACAGAAACTATTGATTATACAAATTTGTGGGGTTACAGAGTTGAATATCAATACATGTATACAATGTGATGATCAGATCAGGGTAATTAGCATATTCATCATTATAAAACTTAATCATTTATTTGTGATGAGAACATTCAATCTCCTCTCTTCTAGCCATTCGATACCATGCAGGTAATTATAGGTGCCTAGTTGAACTGTTCACTAATAGAACTTATTTTTCCTATCCAGCTCTTTTGTGTCTATTAATCAGCTTGTCACTATATCCCCTCCCCTGCCTCTAGTAACCACAGTTCTGCTCTCTTAACATGAGACTTTGGTTCAAGGATTTCCCACCAGCCAAAACTTTTTTAGACCTGTGCTGTGGCACAGGTGCCTCCTCCCCATTCCTTCCTCCATCCTCTCTTACCAGGTGTCAGATCAGCACTGCAATCCTCAGACTCTCTCTGCCTATTCCTGCTCCCTTCCCTTCATCCTTCACAGGCCCTCATCCCCACTGACTCCCTTGGACATCTAATTCAATCTTGGCATCTGCTTCTTGGAAGACCCAGAATGACACACTCCCTTAATTTAATGGTAAAAATGAACACTACCAGTAATAAGATGAAGAAAAACTAAGGAACTATCTGTGATTAGAGAAGACTAAGGAGAAACAGCAACTAAATGCAATTTGCAATCCTCTACTGGAACCCAGACCAGAGAAGCACCTGAGTGGAACAACAGGTAGAATCTGAATTAAGTCTGTAGATCAGTCAACAGTGTTGTATCGATGTTAATTTCTAGGCTTTGAGGCTTGTACTGGTTATGTAAAATATTAGCATTAGGGAGAGGTGGGTGAAGGACTTATGGGTTCTTATGCACTATTTGTGAAACTTTGTTGTAAATCTAAAATCATTTCAAAAGAAAAGGTGAAAAAAATTGTCACCAAAAATACATAACTTCAAGCTAATCATGAGATAAACCCTCATCGAGAGACTGTCTACAAAATAAGTGACTAGCACTCTCTAAAGGAGTCACGGTCATAAAACAACAATAAAAGACAGATGAACTGTCAAAGGTCGGAGGAGACTGAAAAGACCACTAAACACAATGTGACGCCTAGATCCTGGACCAGACAAAGAGCACGAAGGGAAAAACTGGCAAAATGTAAATAGTCTGCAGGTTAATAATAGCACAGCATCAATGTTAACTTACTAGTTTTGATAATTGTATATGACCATCTAAGGTGCTGGCAGTGGCAGAAGGTGGGCAAAAGATATATGAGAACTCTCTATATATGTTTGCAAAATTTCTGTAAATCTAAGAGTATTTCAAAAGTTAAAATAAAAAAAAGGAAATTAACCATTTATATCAAAAATAACAGAACATCACTAAGTCAAAAGTAGTTACAAGTTCTGCCAGCAGCACCCTAGCAGAAGCAGCAACATAAACTCACACTGAGCATCCCAAGTGCTGTGTGATCGTGACCACTTTTGTTTTGAAGTTAGTATTACGTGCAGAGGGAAAACCCCCAGAGCCCAGGGAAGAGGAGAAAGGCTCATTCAGAAGGCCAGCATACCAACCTCGCCTGTGGTTTGTAGCTGTTAAGGATCTGATAGGCTCTCAGCAGATCAAGCTTGCCATGGCCTTGCTCAAACATGTTGACACCAGGAAGCCTCCGAGCTGATGCAATCAGGGCCTGCTTCATACTGGCAGGATTTACCAGCTCACGTTTCTGGACTGTGCTGGGGGGAAAATCAATATTTGTTCATTTTCTCTCAGTAAAACAATGAAAATCAGACAATCTCTAATATCTGGCCTTCCATCTTGTTTTACATCTAACAAGAGCTTCTTTGGTAGAGCCCATGCAAGATGAGAATAAGCACAAACTCATTTCTGTACTTGCCTCGGGACTGATCACTTAGTAAACCTTCCATATGGCTTTTCTGAAGAGTGACCTATAGGCTAGTGCCTGTTTATGCTAAATTATCAGTAACACCTATTTTTCCAATAATTTGACTAAATCAACCACAGAGGATTCAGGGGGGAAGAATCTGTAAGAGGTTCTGGCTCCTCAGGGGAGGGGAAGGCTGCTGGACCAAAGGGAGAAGACAACCTGGAACATAATCTGGCTGAGGGGAGACAAGGAACACAGAGGGATCCTGGAGAGGGCAACCAATGCAAGACAGGCAGGAGGCTTGGAGCTTGCATAAAGATCACAGCCTCCAAAGCGAAACCTCACATTTTTGTTTCCAGATCTGGAGGCCTGTGTGGAATGAAATGCTCTGGTGGATAACACCTTGTAGGACATTGCAGACTTAAGGCCTTCTTTAGAGTTTCATCGTCAGAATGCATCTCAACCAACTTTAACACACAGCTCTACCTGGCTAGGAATTTAGGTAACACTAGCATTAAAACATTCATTTTTTGTATATCTAATCATATGTATTGTAAATATAAGTAAATTTTAATCCTCAACTTAGGGGGTGAGGAGGATCAGTTAGCATAAAAGAACTTACTCTCCTAACCTTCTAGATATTTTTGTATGATGGTGGTTGGTCTCAGAGTCTAGGCAGGTTTTCTAAATCTGACATAAGGAGAAGTAAGAGGAGACAAAGCAGATTAACTCTTAATGACAGAAGAACTGCTAAAAGCTATAGGTCGTCAATCTTCCTGCCTATAAAGCAAAATCAAAGGTTAGGTTCCACTTCCACTGGAAGCTCAAGTCCTCCCTCATTGCTCAGCATCTATTATGAGCTATTATCAGCCCACAAAAGTACTTCTGAACGATCATGATGGCATTTTTATCCGCTGCAGGGAGATGAGGAAAGCCAGAGGTTTCCTTGCTGCGGAAAATATCTGTACTTAGAGATGCCGCTGGAAATGGAAAACCACCTCCTCTTCTCCCTACTCATTTAACAGTAGAGAGATTTGATGGGCTCAACAGTGAAGCCAGAACCCACATTTCCCGCTAACAATCATAGCAAGTGGGGGAAATAAACCAGTACGTATTTTCTGTTTCCAACAAGACTGGAAACAGGAGTGCTGGCTGAATTCTTTCCACCTGGACAATACAAATACATGTAAAACAGAAAATCCCACAATCTACCTTTCCTTTCCTCTTTTTTTTTTTTACTTTGTGTAACACGGGAGAGGGGAAAACAGCTGGAAGAGAATGACAATGTTTCTAGCAAGCATATGATTACTCTACAGACTACTCTGGCCAATGTCAACATTCTCAAGAATCTGGCTCTGAACTATAAGGGAAAGATGGGAAAAAGAGGAAAGAGGTAGAATATCTACTTTTATCCAGGGTTACTAATACAATAATCTCTGGCATTAGAAGCTGCAATCAACATTCAATTTACTTTCTTCTAAAGAGAATTTTAAATATAAAAATATTTACAATCATTTGCCTATTTTAATTAATTTTTAAAATTAGCATAGAACGTAACAACTTCCAACACACAGAGTTTTATGTGTTATCACAACATAATAGCTCAACCAAAACCTCATCTAAATAGAAAAAGTAAGATTTGTTTTGGGGGAAAATACACTGACAAAATAAATGCTAGCTCCAGAAAAAAACATTTATAACCTTGAGAATAAGTAACATGGCCCATCCAAATGAAAGTCAGAGCACGTGAGCTTCAATTCTGGTCTACTATCTTTGAGAACTTTATTCCAGTTTCATCATCTGCAAAGTTAAGAGCCAGTCACTAAGCTCCATTCCAACTGTATGTGAGATTCGACAAGATGAGGAGAATAAATGACATACAGAAACTTGTCTCTCATAAAGGAGAGGTGACTGTCAGACTGACTGGTTTGACATCTCCTTAGCTAATAGAGTATATTAAAAGGTGAATCCCTGTCACAAAAACAAAAAAAAATGGGTAACTCCATGAGATCATGGATACATTAACCTGTTTCACTATGGCAACCTTTTTACTAGCTATATGTATCCTATAACATCATGTTATACACCTTAAATATAAACAAAACAATGGTTTTTAAAAAAAAAAAAAAAAAAAAAAAAAGGTGAATCCCCAAGGAAGTGAGGATATGACAGGGAAATATTATAGCCTGATCTATATACTTGTTTGGATATAAAAAGCACAGTTCTAGCACAGAAACAGGATATTTAAAAAACAGAACACAAACATAAAGAGAGTAACAGGCATCTTGCCCTTGTATGGTGCTTTATGGTTTAGTTTACAAAGTGTGCTCACATACCTGTCATCTAACTACAAAAGAAGGGATTCCTACCTCTTTTGTAGGGACAGACAAAGTAAGGTTACAACATGCTTGAACCTAGGCAGGTACAGAGCAAGACCCCACTCCTACTCTGCTGGCACAAGCACTCCCCCATCCCCATATGGGAGCTGCCGGTCTCTGCTGAGCAACACTCACCTCACTAACAAGGTGACAGCGCCTGCAACCACTGGAGAGGCGACACTGGTCCCCGAGAGGGCCCGGCAACCCCCTTTCACACCGGAGCCCCGCACTCCAGCACCATAGGTGACAATATCAGGCTTCACACGACCGTAGCCTCCTGGTAGTTCCTACGAATAGAGTAGCTCAGTTTCTACATCACAGACATTGGCACACAGCTATACGTAGTTATGAGTGAATCCAACCCAAATGGAAATATAAGTTATTTAAATGTAGTACAACCTTAGTAAGGTACTGGTTTTAGTCTGAAATTCAATGCTACACAGCTTAGATGATAATGTAGAAAATAAAATTACTTTTTGTATGTTTTATGATAACCAGTACAATAGCAAGGCCATAAAGCAATTAAAAAATATTTTAATTTTGCCAATATGCAAGACTAGAAACTGGACACTGACTTATCACTAAGACTAGAGACTGGACACTGCTTTATCACTAGGTAAATTAAAAATTAGAAATACGACTAGGAAATTAAAATTAACAATTAGAAAAAAAAAAGAAATATGTTTCTTTCCAAGGAAAAAAGTACATGGTACGACTGAATGTTTCAAGCTGTTGTCAGAGGGAAACTAAGATACCATTTACAATGATCAGGATAAGTGTACAACTAACTAGGGACAAGATTTTAACCAAGTACCTCCCTTAAGCTTCCTAAAAATCAGGGCAAAATGAGAAGTGCACCAGGATCTTATATTCTGTTGGAAAAAAGTACACCAGTTGGAAGAGGAAAAGCCCTTCTTGACAACTGAATACAGGAGTGTGGATCCGTGTATGTGAAAGTCTGAGTGAAGATATCTCCAACTATAGCGCCGTAGATGACTGAGGGACATTTCTCAGAATGCCATTAAAGAACAAGCCCTTGATAAAGGCCAAAGACACAACATTACCTCACAGTTCAGTGAAAGCATTTACACAGGGAGCTAGATGCCTTTTTTCGCAGTATCTGACAGCAGAGTGTGCTGAGGGAGCACAGATGAGTGGACACACAGCAGAGCCCTGGGACTTTCGCACAGAGTGGGGTGCACCAGCCCGTGGCGTGAAGTCAGTGGGTCAACCCAGGAGGAAGCATCTGAGGGCATGAGGCAGGAACTCTGGGAGGGCTGACTGAAGGGGGCGCTGAGGAGCCGACACTGTCACAGTACTGAGGCTCAAGCAGAAGGCTATCCCCTAAAGTGCTGAAGGTGTGGACAAGGCCCACAGTGTTCCCAAGAAGTTGTGAATCATCCCAGGGACTTTCCCAAGACCTCTAAATTCAGCACACCTGAAGTTACAGCACCAACAGATGCTCTGAACCCGCAGAATGCTAGGGGCAGGGGCTCCCCTTCAGCCACCTCCAGGGTAAAAGCACTTGAGTGCTGCTGCAAGGGAGCACTAATTTTTTTTTTTTTTTTGTCTTTTGTCTTTTTCCGTGTCCGGCAACGGATCGCAACCCTCAGTGTTGCCCCCGTACCGGACCGGGGACCGGCAACGGAATTGCAACCCTTGGCGTTGCCCCCGCGCCTCGCTCAGCCAGTGAGCGGGAACCGGTCTGTATGTGGGATCCGAACCCTCGGGCGGGAGCGCCGCCGCGCTTCCCAAGTGGCGCACTTATCCAGTGCGCCACCGGGCCGGCCCAAGGGAGCACTAATTTTGAACTGAATTTTGTCTTGATGGGTAAGGACAGGTGAATTAGCTGCATAAACAAACCCCAAACAGCTGAATTATTAACTTGTTGGAGTTATTTTGATTTTGTCCAGCTAAACAATTATTTTCTGTGTTAGAGAGCTGATATTAAACTGTTCTCACTGGTTTCTCCTACGACTTTTTTTTCCTTCAGCAACTGGCTGATGTGGAGATCTGAACCCTTGACCCTGGTGTTGTAACACTGCACTCTAACCAACTGAGCTAACCAGGTAGCCCTCTCCTACTTCTTAAGGCCAAAAAACATCATCTCACCTAGCATTGCTTATCTTCCTACTAGTCTGGACAAGTGAGCATGAATCCAATTCACCTAAAAAAAGTTAACTCAGAAATAAGTTAAAAAGAAGGGGAACTAGGAAACACCACTCAGAACCAGCCCATGTCCTTTGCAGTGGCTCTGGATTTGCCACAGTGAAGTGGCAGATGCTGAAGAGGCCAGATCTCCCAACCTCACGGCTGTGCAAGCACCACAGCCCTAGCTGTTCGATCCCTGAATGTGAGGGTCAGCCTACCATACCAGCTGCTTTTCCAAACCCTTAGCCACATTAGACTAATAAAGAAAAGCATACCCAGGTAGTCATTCCCCTTGAAGAAAAGCGGGCGATGTTATCTTCAAAGTCAATGCCACCTACTCCAATCACATCCATTTGATCAGCAGGGTTATTCAGAGTGCTAAATTGAGAAGCAAAAAAACAAAGGAAGAGAAATAATTCAAAATGAATAATTCACATAACGGCAAATACTCCCAGAAAAACCTAAGACTTTATTAGGTTCTTCTGTGACAAGAACTGAGCAGCTTGGCAGATTGCTGCTCCTCACAGCTGTCCTGTGAAATGCCATGTTCCCTGCCACCTTTGTGCTATGCTCACATTATGTCCTTTCACCTGAACGCCCTTTCTTTTCCTCCTCTCTGTCAGCTTATCCTACTTGGGCCCAGCTCAAGACTCACTTTTCCCCTCACTGCTCCAGGCTTTAGATCCCCCCTTGCCTTGAGCTTCACAAGACTTAACACGGTCACACTTCATCACCTAATCACACATTCTCACATCACTTTCGAATTGTTCCATGTGTACTCTTTTTGCCTCCCCAACCAGATCAGACATTCCTCTGGTAAGAAACCATATCCACACTTTGCACCCACCATGGTCAGGAAGCTATACACTTCCACTGACCTTCTGCAATGTGCTGCATCTTCCTCATAAGGAAGTGTGGGAATGACTACCTGTACTCTGCAATCTCGGGCTCCTGAGAGGAAAGACAAGGACACAAGGGGAAAAAAAAAAAATCACACAACTCTCTCCAGTACCTCAGGTGTACTACACATGCAAAGACGCTATATTAAAAAGAATGACAAAAACATTTAAACTGTAAAGTCAAGATGAAACTGAACTGTTTGAAAGTATGAAAGAAAGTTATAAAATTGCCTTTCTTTTTTTTTTTTCCTTTTTGTCTTTTTTCGTGACCGGCAACGGATCGCAACCCTCAGTGTCGCGCCCGGACCGGACCGGGACCGGCAATGGGATCGCAACCCTCGGTGTTGCTCCCGCACCTCGCTCAGCCAGTGAGCGGCCGGTCTGTATGTGGGATCCGAACCCTCGGCGGGAGCACTGTCACGCTTCCCAAGCAGCGCACTGTAGCAGTGCGCCACCGGGCCGGCCCTAAAATTGCCTTTCTAAGCTTTGTCTGTCACAGCTTCACCACCAAAAAAATAAACTCTTTGACAATTCAATAACTACAACTGATTCCAAGTGGCTTAAGAGATTAATTACTAGCAATTAATTAGAGCACAGGTTTTTAACCAAGGATTTCAAGCCACAGCAAGCCAACACTGGCACTCACTGCCTTCTTAGCTCACTGGCCACCAATGTGCTACCAGGTGGTAATTCAGAGGAATCGATGATTTTCCATTGGCTGACGCTATAAGTATACAAATCTCCATGAATTCAAGGAACAGAGGGTAGTACAGAAGTCACTAATAGAGCCACCCCACTGAATTTGATAGAAAAATGCCACCTTTGCACTCTCCCTCTACCTCTCAATCCCTGTAATACTTTAAACCCTTAAAAACATAAGGGAAGGCATGAAGAGGGATAGGCCCAGGAATAAGGAAATCATTGTTGGTATGGAAAAGGGGGAAGGTGCAGCTGCAGACTTGCTGGCACCACAAAGTCTAAGTCAAGGGGGCAGGACCCAGAGAGAGAGATCACAGCAAGGGGTACCAGGAGCTGCCTGTCTCACTTCCAGAGGTGCTGACATGAGCATGTCTGTCCTCTGACCAGCACTGGGAGCAGTCCTACTGGATGCCCAAGTGGTAAAACCATAACGGCCACAAGCTGGGCTGCAGTGATCACATGCCATTTCCTGTCACTACAAGCAGGGTATAGCTGGCAGATGCCTAGGTCTGTGTGAGGCAGCACGAGCATACAAACGAGTTGCAGAAAGGGGCCTTTTTCTCAAGGTTTTTCTCCTCTAAAACAAACTGAGAATCCCTGATCTGAAAATTCCAAGTCCAAAAGGCCCCAAAATTCAAAGCTTTTTGAGCAACAACATGATGCTTAAAGGAGCATTTCTGATTTTGGACTAGGGATGCTCAACCAGTTAAGTATTTGCAACTATTCCAAAATCCAAAAAAATCTAAAATCTGAAACACTTCTGGTCCCAAGCATTTCAGATGAGGGACATTCAACCTACACACTATAAATTCACAACTGTTTGACTAGAAGCTATAAGTGCAATTACCCACAAGAGCCACAGGGTTTCAGAAGGGCTGCTAGTATGTGACAAAGCAGTCAGAATAGCAGGTGGAAGAGCTGGTAATCCAGACAGGTGTGAACAGGGATCAGCAGCAGTGACAGGTAGAGGGGAACCCGAAATAAACATGGTGTCTACTAGAGACACAAGGAGGAGACCAGATTTGAGGAAAACTTGCAAGAGTTAGTGGAAAATGGAGGTGAGCCAACAGACTCCAGCTACAATTGGCAAACTAAGGCCTACAGCCAAACGAGGCCCACCACCTGCTTTTATAAATACCATTCTCCTGGAACACAGCCCTGCTCATTCATTTACATGTCGCTTAGGGCTGCTTTCACACTACAATGGCAGACTTAAGTAGTTGTGACAGAGACCATATGGCCCACGAAACCTAAAATATTTACTATCTGACCCTTTACAGAAAAAGTTTGCAATTCTGGGCTAGAATGTTGAGAACCTTGAAAACCAAGAAGAAAAATTTGGAATTGATCTATCAGGCAATAATGATCCACTATAGATTCTTGAATAGAAAACTGCTAAAACATGTTTTAACAGTAGATATACAGAAAAAAAGGAAGGAAAAAGAGTGGCTCCCACTCACCGGAGCATCATTATTCATGAAGCCTTCCCTTTGTTGTCCAATTTCATCCACAACCACCACACAAGCAGATCTCATGCCCCCAGGTGACAGGTAAGGTGGCTGTGCCTCAGAAAAGTAAAGGTCCCTCAGCCTGTTAGTGGCAGGTCCCACCTACCCATGCTGGAAGAGCTGGGGTAGGAAAGGGACTAAAGGTAGGACAATGCGCTAGGAAACAATATGGGTGATTCTGAACTGGTGAGTGCCGGCCTTGAACAGGGACATCAAAAATGGGAAAAGTGGCAAACAGGAGAAACATTTGAAAGAGAAAATAAGAAAACCTGACGAGATTACTTAATAATGGTGTTTTTCATGGTAGAGCTATAGCTAAGATACACTCAATCAATTTACATGTATGAATCACAAGATACATTACTGATGCCACAACAAATCCAGAACCTTGGACCTCTTACAAGGGGACAGGATCATTTATTGAACTGTTAGGCTGGAACCACATGACTGTCAATACTTACGTTTTCTTACCTATATAAACATGAACTTCACATAGCTTAGCCTCATACTACACCCTGGATGTTTTGTGTAAGGTCAGCTGATCCTCAAGACAACTTGCTTTCCTTCAGCAGGTACTCTTAGCATGTCCCAGAAAGATGCAGTGAGTAAGTGCGCATCATAATACACATTCACCTGGTGTGTGCCACACACAGGCACACATGGGAGTGAGTGCAGATGTCAGTCTCTCCCTCCACTATACCATAGCATGTCGAGCACACACTCTGTAATCTCCTCTTTCTGGGTGGTTACCTCAAGCCCTCTGTAACAATACAGTTGCATACATCCTTTACTCAATAAAGGAGAGTGACAAACACCCTACTACAGAAGCATTTCAACACAAGAATTATTTATACACATTATGTACAAAATAAAAATCAGAGCTGCAGGTAAAAAGAAAATTGAGATCTCTAACCACTTTATCAGCTGTGATTCAAGGATGAATGTTTTGCGTCTCATGCTGCTTTAACTTGCCACTGCACCCAGTACAAAAGCACATTCCTGTGACACTGTCCCTTTCTACTTCCCTCCTATCTAATCTCTGGTCAACCCCCAAAGCACCACCTGGGTCTCTTTTAGGCCCCAGCAACTTCCCCCTCGCACTAGTTTGGCTGTGTGTGCACCTGATCTTTCCTAGAGAGGGAGGTATCTCATCTATCACTATTTACACCAGAGTTTTAAAAAAATTAAACAGAAAAAAGATTGGAGGCTCGTTAGTTAGCTCAGCTAGTTAGAACATGGTGTTGTGGGCCGGCCCGGTGGCGCACTGCTACAGTGCGCTGCTTGGGAGCGCGGCGGCGCTCCCAACGAGGGTTCGGATCCCACATACAGACCGGTTCCCGCTCACTGGCTGAGCGAGGTGCGGGCACAACACTGAGGGTTGTGATCCCGTTGCCGGTCCGGTCCGGTACGGGTGCGACACTGAGGGTTGCAATCCGTTGCCAGACACGAAAAAAGACCAAAAAAAAAAAAAGAACATGGTGTTGTAACACCAGTCAAGGGTTCAGACCCCTATACCAGCCAGCCACCAAAAAGAAAGAAGATTGGCCTTCAGTTGAAACTGCTCAAGTGAGTGATGAGTGCTTGGGGTTCATTACACATTCTATTTTTTGTACATTGAAAATGTCCATAATACAAAGTTTTAGACAAATATAAACAGGTATACATAGATAGCTACAAAAACAGAAAGACAAGAATTTTCCAGTTATTTCATGGGAAAAAACATCTCTAAGGTCACCCGTGCTGGGGTTACTTACCCATAAAGAGGTCCATCGTTGCCAATAGCAGAAACCATGATTACGTTGTTAGCTGTTAATTCCCACACCTACAAAATTTATTTTGTAAGCATTTATTTAATGAAAGTATACCACTTTTAAATAATCAATATATAATTGTCAAAAAAAAAAAAAAAGAACAACAACCCACAATGACTAAAAATAGTCCTAAAAAAGAAAGGAAGCCCTCTCAAAACATACCACTAGACTACTACAGAGGTGGCTATGTCTGTAACTAGTAAGCTGAGAGTGATGACAACACTGGACCAGGCTGTGCAGAGAGCAATGGCTTTCCAGTTGTCTTCATGAAAACTTGGGGCTGTGCATTTAGGGAAGAAGAAATCAACAAAGCACCAGGTGCTCCTTATAAATTCCTGTTTCTAAGGTCTCTAACCCACTGGACTTATGACATGCAAGTCACTGAAGTTCACTTCATTAACCATCTGTCCTCACAAAGCTGTCATCACTTGGGTGAAAAGCCACCAATACACTAGAAATGACAAAAAGTTTGGTTGTGAAAGGGCAGGAGCCGTCTTCTAAACATAATGTCCCTCTGCAGCATCAACCAACCTTGTCAACAAAGGGATGATCCATGAAGTCGGGACCACCAATGCTGAGGTTTAACACATCGATCTTCTTTAAGATGGCATAGTTGAAGGCATCCAAAAACCAAGATGTGTAAGATACCTAGTTTAATTTTAAAAGTCCTTTTAGTGTTTCAGTAAAAGTATCAGCTTTTATTCCTAAGGATAAAGTAAGTACAGACTCTTAAAAGCATGAAGTATTTCTCTTAATATTTTTTGATTCACTTAAAATCGGAAGTAAACCCCAATTACAAATAATGTTCTGGATGTTAAATACTACACTCAGAAATTCAATGTCCTTGGAACTGGACCAAAAGAGGAAGAAGCTGTGTTCTGCAGGGGACCCATCTCTCTAGGTGTAATGTACAGCTCTTTACTTAAGAGTACGCCTTCCTAGACAAAACCCCAAACTTCTAACTGCCTCTCTTATAAAAGAATTTATCCTAAGACACTTCTATTAAGCGTTTCTAAATAGTTTAATGTACTTGTCTAATATTCATTCCTAAATATACTGAAGGTTAAATGGTACCAATAACAGTGATTTCATAGTATTGTTTCTCTGATGTTCAATTTCTCCTATTTTCCTTATAGAAGTTAAATTTTTATTTTTAAATACAAAATTAAGTTTATAGTGGGAAGAGAAGCAGTGTAATGACTGAGAATTATGTTTTTAAAAGCCTTTTAAAAATAAAGCTACATATTTATTTTTGCTATATGCAAAAGAAATTCTAGGAGGAGGTAAAAGAAATGAAAAACAATATCACACAGGAGACATGAAGAAATGAGGTAAGAACCTGCTGGATAGGGAAGGGAGACTTATTACTATGTTGCTTATTGACATTTTTGAGCTATTATTACCTATTCAAAAAACAAATTTAAAAAATAAACAAACAAATACTAGGACTTGCCCCACCTTTTTATAAATAATTTCCAAATCAAGAGTGATGGAACAAAGCTTGTCAGTTCACATTACCCAGCAATATGCTAAGTGCTGGGTTACACAGGTTAATCAGGCAGTTCCCACCCTCAAGGTGGCAGGATTCTAATCAGGGAGACAAATACATACACATTCAATTATCCTATCATGTAGACATAGCGCATGGTAGCATAGAGGCCTCAGGCAAGCCTGAAGGTGAGGACAAAACAGGAGAAATTAAGGAGTTACTGTATGCAGTGGCCTCACAGCAGAGTCTCCAGGGTCCAAGTTATGCTGACAAAGGGGGTGGTGGGAGAAGGGCAAAGCCACACAGAGGCAGAAGGGACAGTGGAGACAGCGAGCCATACACTGGGTGCTGGAAGTAGCTCAGTATCATGATGTGTGCTGCTTTTAAATGGATGTGTATATTTCAGTGCTTTTACTTTTTACATTTTCAGTATCAATTCCTTAAAAGTTTCAGGAGTCCTCTAAAAACCTACCTGATTATTGGTAAAGACCCTGAAAATATGAAGTTCTGCATCTGGAGCAAATCCTTGGCATTCCCTCATACTGGCTATCACACCTGCCACGAATGTGCCATGGCCCAACCCTGTTGCCGACAAGGAAAAAAAAAATCCCATAAAACACAGTTGATAATGTATGTCACAGTGCAACATCTCAAACCATCAGCTCTATAGGGACTTCATTCTGAATCCTGGATGGAGTCTCTGCTGCTACTCTACCTTCTCTCATTCAGAATTCATCCAGCAGAAGCACCACCTCAAGGTCTAGCCACCCCATTCTCTTCACAATAGGGAGTCGCTCTTCCACCTGGCATCCCCCAACCCTCCTCAAATTTTCAGCACCCTCTGATAGAGTCGGAAAAGTTTTTGCCCATAACAAAAGACAAAATAAGCACTTTGGTTTATCTGAGTAACTGCTGGACACGGACTGTGGAACCATTAGCACATGGTACACTCTCAACCCATCATACACAGAGGATAGGAGTGCTGTCCTAAGTCTGTAAATGACCATCTTTTCACCACCACGCTGAGACCCACCATCATCCAGGGTTCGCTCATTGGTCCAGTTGGTTCTCTCCTTCACATTTTTGAAATGGGGATGCTTCTCGCTCAGCCCAGTGTCAAAAACAGCAACTCTTACGTTAGCACCTTATTCCAAAATGATAGAAAGCACAGTCATATTTGAAGAAATCTTTCTGGATTTTTGTCTATAAAATACATTCTTTCCTGAGACCTGCAGAAAATGATGTTATGGAAAGCCAGAGTGCCACAAGTTAAGGTTGATGCTCCAGGGGTCAACTGGCTGAGCCAAGACTAAGAAAAGAGGATAATGAAGGAAATACCATCATCTGCTGCTGAACAAGATTTGAAGAGAAACAGAAAATCTCTCTGGACCCCATCGCCCCAACTGCACCCCTGGCTCAGGAACGAAACCATCCCTTCCCCACTCCTAGAGGGCCCCTCAAGGCTGCAGGTCACCAAATATGACTGATTTTACCCTTTTGATAATTTATTCCAGATCTCCACTCCCCATCTCCTTAGAGGCCCTTCAAAGCCCCTACAAAGCACAAACCTAAGGAACAGGGCTTGGCAAACAGGGGAAGGGGAAACTATTCCTATTCCTGACAAGGACAGCAATTTACTTAATGCTGCTTATTAATAACAATAAACTCTGTAGAGAGGAACTGTAAACAACATGCAGAGTTAATCACATTTTAAAGAAAATCAATACAGTATGCACTTTTCTATAATAAGTTTATTTCAGATACTGGCCAAAAGCCATCTGCACTGATGTGAAATGCGATTGGCCTATCAGATCAAGAAATTCTACAAAACATCTAGAAAAAGTACCAGATACAGCTTTCCCTTCACACTTGCAGGTTTCCACCAACCACAGGTTCCCCCAACCACATATTTTCAATACAGTATTCTCGAGATGCAGAACCTGGTGGTAAGGAGGGCCAACTTTCCGTATCCACAGGTTCTGCAGGGCTGATTGTGGGAATTCAAGGATTTTGGTATCCCTTGGGGGTCCTGAAAACAATCTGCTGTGGATACTGAGGGCTGACTGTACTTATATGATTTAACAGCTAACCAATGTAATGAAGGTAATATCTTTCTCCTGTTTACATATCAATACTATGTTAGATAATTAATTATACTGACATAATTATCAAACTTATTGCTATTTTTTTAAAACACACATAAAGTTTGAAACTATGGGGTTTTAGGGGAATGAAAAAATGCTTTTCTGATGATTAGGAAATTTGTTTTTTGAAAGAGTTCTTACTCTCAAATGATAAAACCAGGAGGAGACATTTTAATAAAATGTAAGTCCACCAGGTATTAAAAGTTTAAATACCTCAGTCATTTTGAAGGGCAGGGGGCTAAGAAAGTCAAAGGAGAGGTAAGGGTCTCTAAGTCAAGAAGATTTGGATAAAGACACCAAACAAACTGTGACATCCTGGGGGCAAGAGAAACTGGCCCCCAGGATGTCAAAAGTCAGGGTAAAAATCTTCACAGTAGTTAAAATAAGAATACCATGAGGAATCAGTAAGGAAAAAAAATCTTATTGGTTGTTGAGCTTTATTTCATAGGATACGGTCATTAATATCGTTTCCTGTTCTGAAACAAGATCAGCAAGTGTGATAGTTACTTGGTCATTCTGCATAAGGAGCACCAAACTCAAGTGATAAACTGATTTTCATGAAATTGCCCAAATCAAAGATGACTATCTCTGAATTTGATCTCTTTCCCTAAGAAGCTACAGAACTTTGCAGAGCTGCCAGCCAGCTGAGTCTGTAAGCAGTGCTGTATTTGTTCCTGTATGTGTAAACAGGAGAGAAATGCTCCTCATTCTACCCCTTCTAACCTCAAAAATGGTAACAAAAGACACAAATGGTGAGAATTAGAAAAGCCATAAATATAGATGCCTAGAACAACAGGAGTCAAAGACATGGGGGAGTTGACTACCTCCAGCTCAACGAACAGTAAGAAGAAAAGACATGTCAGACCATGTGGCTTTAGCACCAGGCACTCCAGAAGAGACTCCTTGGACACCAGACCTATGCTGCTTCCCTGGTTAACAGCACACACCTGTATATCCCATCTGCCAAAGCACATCTGCCTGTAGTGTCTGGGCAACCTGGCGTGGAATGGCTCTCAGCAACCGTCTACTCGAATGTCTTCCTGTAGCATGCCAGAAGCCAGAGCCCAGGGACAGACTGGCTCTTCGCAGGGGACGTGATGATTGCCACTTCTGACTCCATCGGGTTTCATTACAGGGCACTATGGGGTCAGCTGCCAAGAAAGAGAAAGATCAGAACAGAAGAGGAAAAACACTTGAACTACACTATACCTGTCAGGCAAAACAATCATTCTGAACACAGCAATAATTGCGTTTTTAAATCCTGGTTAAAGGTAAGTGGGATTCTCTCCCTTTTCTAGAAAGATGTTCTCAATGCAATTATAACTACGGGATATTAGTTAGTTGGCATCTTATTCCTAAATAGTCGGTACTTGGAATTTTCTAACCAAGATAACCAAGGCAGAGAAGGAGTAATAATACTTTTTTAAGAAAGAAAGCCAATCATGATACTACTACTAAAGAAAAGAGTGATTTTTCATCAGCAACTTGTTCTCACTGAACCAGAAGGAGGAGAAAAAAAAAATTGAAGGAAATGGCCACTAACCTATTAGGAAGTTTTATACTACTAAATTTCCAGGACAGGAAAAAGTCATGTTACCCCACTGAAAATTTTTCTAGCTAAACATCAATAGGACCTTTTAAAAACTGTATACTGCTCAACATTCTCAATGTTTTTATCTACTAGAATTTCCACATTGAAAAAACAAAAGAACTACAGAGGAATGGGATGGGGAATTTTTGTGGGGGATAAAACCATTCCGTATCTTGATTTTTTTGATGGATACTTAACTGTTTACTTTTGCCAAAATTTGCCAAACTATACTCTAAAAATGATGAATTTTACTATCTGTAAGCCCCTTTATTTAAACAAAAAATGGGGAAAAAAGCAAAAGAAATGCAAGAGTTTTCTCTTTACCTTTCAAGGTCCATGTTATAATAAAGAACATATCATATTTCAAATCAATTTAAAGCAGAGCAAACTACAATACTACTGCAGTCCTATTTCCAAAGCAAATTACTATCATTTTTACTCCAACCTTACCACACTACACCAATGAAAGAACAGAGACCTGGAAAAACACAGTCAAGTCAATTCCATTAAGTAATTATTCCATTAAGTAATTACGCAGTCCAATTGAAACCATTCTGCAGTGAACTTCCCAAGTTGATTGCGATCTTTCCGTCAACAGCATGGAACAGTACTGGAGTCATACACTGAAGACCAACACTGAGGACAAAGGAGGGGTCTATTCTGCTTTACCTTGAACACACCAGGCTACATCCAAAGTATGAATCAGTTCTGGGCTTCACTCTTTAAGAATAACTTAGAAAAACTGTATTCAAAGGAAAACCATTAAAATGGTGAGTGGGCTTGACACCACTCACAGGTCATATGAGTAGCCACTGATGGAACTGGGGATAATAAGCTTAAAGAGAAGTTGCCAAAGGGACACAATGGATATCTTCAAATACCAGAAAGATATCTTCACGATATCTTTAGATATCATCTATGGAAAACAGGTTAGCTTTGTCTTACAGCCCATGGGATACAACCAAATGCATGGGATTCAGAGACAGGTTTCAGCCCCAAATAAATATTATCCCAATAAGGGCCACAGAAACAATTAACATTTAATGTTACTTACAACATCCTGAACACTCTGCTAAACTCTCCTCACATGCATTATTTCATCTTGCCTCTGTGAGAACCCTGTGAGGTAGGCAATATTATCTCCATTTTATGGATGAGAACAATTAAAGCTTAAAGATGAAGAGATGCTTACTGCTCAAGGTCAGAGCTAACTACAGGAAGAACTGGCAGGTCGGGAGGTACTGCATTTCCTTATGGGGGCGTCAGGCACAGCACAGGACAAACACAGTGGAAATGGTGCGGAAGAGAACACCCACCAGGACAGTCTGTAAATCTTGTGCTAAATTAGGCATCTCCATGTCTCCTAAAACATTCCAGAACTTTTTAAGATAAAAAATAGAATAAAAATAGAGTCAAGTAGAATGGTGCAATGTACATACATTTGCCTAGTGATACCAGGTTTGATTTGCTTTTTATCTTCCTGGGTCATTTTGGAGTGCTATTACTTTTTAAGGAGAAAAATAATACAAAACATCTGGACTAGCAGAAAAGACTCTGAAAACAGACACCTGAAGTCTACAGCTGACTCAAGAACTGGCTTGTCATACTATGTAAATTAGTCAATCTTTTCCTGTGGTTTTTTTTAAAAAAGCAGCAAAACCTCAGAGGCTCTCAGGCCTAGTATATGACAGACAAAAGAAAAAGAGCAAAATTTTATTTCTTTTTTACTTCCAGTGAAAGAAATGATAGTAAACAATAAAAAAGTAACAATTTTTAACCTGGTTTATGATAAATAGGGAAAAACTTTGCTTTGGTAATACACATGCTTTGGAAAATATTATGTAATAAATATGCAATTTATTGTTTGAGGATACACTTTATCTTGACAAGCCCAATTGTAGTGAAGCAGAAAAGACTAAGCCCTCGAGCTGAAAAGGGAAAAATCAACTTCCTTCCAACCTCACACCTGCACAGCTGATGATTTAAATAAACCCAGCTGAGGAATGATCATGCATGGTCAGGAGGCTGAGAGAAAAACAAAATGAAACCCAAAGAAAAGAGTGCCTTAAAAAATAAAAACACATACTGAGAGAAGCACCATGAAAGTAAAGAGGAGACACAAAGACATGGTCTTTCCTTTCAGCATGGGAAGGGGTCACAGCTGCAACCTTTGAAGGCTCTGAGACAGACCTGGGAGAAAATCACTTCCAATGGAAACAAAGATCACTACCATCCTCTACCGCAAACCCTCAGTTTTTTCCAACCAGAATAGCACGAAGCCTCTTATTTAAAAAAAATTCCAGCCAGGAAAATGTTCACACTGGTGAACTAGATGAAAGGACACGGGTAGTCACCGTACTATTTTTCATCTACTCTCAGTTTACAATGTTCCAAGTGAAACTGAAGTGATATAGTCTCTGAGATCACAATACTCACGCTCAGCACACTTGAGGGAACGAAGGACTCTCCGCTGAGGTGTTACCCGCTTGATGTGTGGATGATCTTCGAGTGTCAGCAGCCCCATTTTCTGCTTTTCTTTTATCTGAATCACCTCAAAATCACTAGGGTAGTCACTGGATGGATTGTTTCGAGGTATGATCCTCCAATTGTCTACTTCACTGCTTTTCAGGGCACTTGAAATAAACGAATTTCTAGCTTTGGCTGTAAAGTATCCATTGAAAGCCACAATATATTCTGAAATCAATAACCATAAATAAAAATAAGAATTTATGTACATATATTATAACAGAGATTATATCTAAAGTTTCACTGGTAAAAGAAAAAGTACACATTTAAAGCCCACAATAAAAAAGCAAAAAACAAAGACTAGTTTAAATGCCCTGTACGGCAGTTTGCAGAGATGATTTAAGATGATCTACATGACTCCCTTGGTCACAGAGAATACATAACCCGAAACTAGATATCTGTAGTATTTTTAAAAAAGCAAATATCTGCAGAAGTTTGAATACACAGCAAAGAAATGTATATAAGTTTTCCAAATAGGAAAAAGGAATTCAGAGAACTGAATGCTCAGTTAGTTTTATTTTACTGAAAACAATGACAAAATTCTGGAGTGGATTATGAGAGGCTACTTGATTGGTTATTCACATCTGGTCATTTGAACTTTACAACATAAACATTCAGTACCTCAAAACCCCCCACCCTAACCAGTAACAACGGCATCTGTTCCGTGGAATCAACTTGTAGGTACATAATTCAGAATATCAATTTCCTTATTTCACAAGTGCTAACTATACTGGGAAAACAAAGTTAATAACCATGTACTATGCACTCATCCTATTTGAAATTTATTGTAGAAAAAAGGGATGCATGTGCTCTTTAGCAAAAGCTAATGTTTATATTAAGTAAGTATGAAGAAAACAGGGTGGGAGGGACGAACATTTAAGACAATATCATTACCATGTTCCACAACGGTTGATGAGAATTCCACCTTCAAAGTCAGGTGGGAACAGCCAGGGCATGGGGCCCTTTCAAAAGATTTCTTTTCCAGTCTGTCACCCAGATGTTTCTTTCCACAGAGCAAAACCACTAGCAGAAGCAACCAGATGTTGACAAGCTTCATGGTCACAAATGTATATGGTCAAAAAACTGCATAAATTCAAATCGCACTTTTTTCTTCCTTGATTAGAAGTGAATTTTTGTTTCAGATAAAGCTGCAATATTACTGATCAGCCGTCTTACAGTCTTGTCCAACGTAAATAAGAGTTAAATCCCATGGCCTTTTGTGGCTCGGCCCGAAGAAAGGCTTTCATTTCTTTCTCCGCTTCTTCTCCATTTTGGACATAAGGCTTCTCTCACTCGGGCCGAGACGACTGAGTCCTATACTCCATTTGCACCACAGATCCAAAGTCCACCAAAGCTGATCAATCAGTCACTCTGGGAGCCAACATATGAAACAAAAAACAGCACACACAGACATTAGTAGCACAATGACATACCTAGGTATGAGTGATATTCACAATTTAGATAAGAGGGCCAAAAAGATATCCCAGTTATAAGACGAATGTGTAATATAACCATAAAACATTATTTCATTTTTATTTACTTATTCCTGACTGCTTTGGGTGGGTGGGGGAAGTTTTAAGGAAGCTTCAAAAATAAAAAAGGATAAATTATTTTTTTTATTTTTTATTTTTGTCCTTTTTGAGACCGGCCGCACCGCGCTCAGCCAGTGAGCACTGTGAGCGCACTGATCATCCCTATATAGGATCCGAACCCGCGGCGGGAGCGCTACTGCGCTCCCAGCGCCGCACTCTCCCGAGTGCGCCACGGGCCCGGCCCAAAAAAGGATAAATTAAATGAGAAAAAATGAAAAAAGAAGAAAGGAAAAAACTAAGGATAACAAAATAATACCAGGAATAATAGTAAGCACATCAGCCCTGAGCATCCTAGCAGCCACAGAGAAGAAGGAATCATGATCCTTTGCTTATGATCCTTTACTTTGCTTGTTTCAGCTTCTGTATTTTCTATCATTTGCAACTCTTCATCTTAAGAGCATTCCCCCAATTGGCACTTTAATTTCCCACAAATTTCACCAATTTCTTAGGCAAAAGCTTACTTTCTGCTATAAAATTAATACGTAAGAGCAAACTAATGCCCAATAAGTCATATTTAACACCTTATTTAAGAGACACGGTGCTTTAAAATTGCTCAGATTTTGAATATTTCTTCCAATTCTATGAAAAGTGAATAAAAAGGTTTTCACTTTAAATTTAAATTCATTAAATTTATTTTACCTGAAGCCTCAAACTCAAAGATATTTAACCTGCTAAATCTGTTATAAAACCAGATTATATCAGTAATAAGAGAGCACAGTTTGTGAGTAAGCTACTGCTAAAGAAAAATATTATTTGAGTATAACATTAGACCCAGGAAAAAATACCTTTCAAAATATCTGAACTGTAGGAAAAACTACCACTCTTCACAATGAAAAGCAGAGCAACAGTAAAAAACAACGCAGTCTGTAGCATGCCTGGAAAAATCAGATGCACAGATCACATTTGAGACATAAATAATCCAGCAAGGGGGAATGGATAAATAAAAGAAGATATGCTTTGTACGGGTACTTATTTTTAAAAAGAAAACGTTTAGGACAGGAGTTAGCCACCTTTCAAGAGAGGTATGTCAAATTGTTAAACCCACTCTTCTGGCAGAAAGTGGTGTGCTTTAGAGCACAAAGAGTTTGTGGTTTCTGGAACTATCCATATGTGCTTCTACAAACAGAAAAGCACGTATAGTGTAATGTGAGGAGTTAAAGTGTTTAATAAGTTTTTTAAAGCTTAATAAGTAGGACAATCATTGCTATAATAACAAATGATCCTAAAAAATAAGCCTATCTCTAGAACTGGGACTGAAGACTAAGGTTGGTGAAACAGAACTCATCAGAGATCAACGAAACTTTAAAACAGTTATGTCCATCTCAACATGTAGAACAGCAATGAGAATGTTAACCACATGAACAAAGAAATTAAAAACAAAGACCAAAACAGAAGATCAGAGAGAAGGAGCAAAGGACAACTTAAAGCCACCTTAACATTTTATAGCAATTTGCTTGTGAATGAGCCCCAATTTTTTCATTTATGCTTGATACTTCCAGCAATAGATTATCAAAGAATATAATAATATGAAGCATATGCCTAGTTTAATTAAAGATTACTGGTCAAATAAGATAAAGCTAATCACTGGTGATAAGAGTTCTCATATCATAGTAAATGAACATATAATTAAGATTTAAATGGGTCCCTCACTCTATTAAGGCAAATTTTTTTTTTTTTTTTTTTTTTGTCTTTTGTCTTTTTCCGTGTCCGGCAACGGATCGCAACCCTCAGTGTCGCCCCCGGACCGGACCGGGGACCGGCAACGGGATCGCAACCCTTGGTGCTGCTCCCGCGCCTCGCTCAGCCAGTGAGCGGGAACCGGTCTGTATGTGGGATCCGAACCCTCGGGCGGGAGCGCCGCCGCGCTTCCCAAGCGGCGTACTATCCAGTGCGCCACCGGGCCGGCCCCAAGGCAAGTTTTTTTTTAATGAACAACAAAAAATCTCTTAAAACTCTTCTGTCTCAAATTACAGAATCTATGACATATGTGAGCTACATATAACACATATTAGTGATCAATACTAGTGAGAAAAATCTCAGACCTACGTTAAGTCAACTTTAATTAAACCTGTTACCAAATAATTCACTCATAGGTAAAGAAAGTAAACTGATAGCATAGCCTATGTGAAAGAGATGGTTTATGTTCTCTTACAACTTAGGCAGAAGCCTGACTTTAAAAGAAAAGGAAGGAAAGAGTTTGAGGGTTTTTAAATGAAACAAACAAACAAAAAATCCATAAGATAATCAGTTCTCTTCCAAACAAAAAAATTAACTTCTCAGGCTTTTGGAAAATAGGGCACCAAGAAGGCAATATCATGACATTCTACCTTAAATTACTCATTAAAGCATGCAATTTATTGAGTACTTACCAACTTAAGACACTGCCAGGTGCTGCAGAACAAACATGTATTATTAATAAGTGAGGGACACAGCCCTCTACGTATGATCTAGCAAAGGAGGCCAACCACAAATACAAACAACTAAACAAAATGCAGGAAAGGAAAATGCCAAAGGAGAGGCAAATGTAAAGGGTTGGAGAAGCTGAAATGAGACAGAGTTCCTCCTGGGGTGTAAAAAGGCAGCTTCAGTTGATTAGGTGGCACTGCAGCTGGCTCTTGCAGAATCTCAGCCAGGTACCGCTGTAAGTATGAAAAAAGGAGGGAGGAGTGAAGAGTCCTGAGCAGAACAACATTAGAGAAGGAAAACCCAGGATGTACACAAGGATCAGCACGTCATCCAGTATGAGGGAAGCAATGAGACATCCATCCAGAGAGGCTGAAAGACAAGAAGGTAAAGGAGGACCTCGAACAGGTATGAGGTATGAGCAGAGCACCCAGCAAACAATTAAAAACACAGACCATTTCCATCGAATGGCAGTGAACTGCACGGAGATAAAACAGGGCCCTAGGATGAGATCGCTGAGTTCCTTTGTCCACTCATTCCACTCACTGACTGAGCAACTACTAAGAGCTAGACACTGTTGCAGGCAGTAGAACTGTGTAACAAACAAAATATAGAAATCTCTGCCCTCATGAAGTTTACCTTCCTATGTGGGAGACAGATAATAAATGAGTAAAACATAGTATTCAGCTATGAAATACTGTATATGGAAAGAAGAAAAAATAAAGAAAGGGACTATGACAAGACAAGGGAGGGTTAGTTTTTAGCTACACTGCTGCAGAAGCCTGTGAGGAGGAGACTTCTGAGTAGACCTGAAGGAAGCAGGAAGCTGACCAAGCTGTCTCGAGACCCCCTACCCCAAACAGTAGAAAAAACAAATGGAAAAGCCCTGGGGCAAGGAACACAGGCTGGTGTGCATAAGGAAAAGCAAAGAGGCCAGGGGGGTGGAGCAGAGTGAAGAAGGGGAAAGCAGAAGGTGAGACGAGAGAGAGGTAACTGGGGAGACAGAGCAGGGAGGGCCTTGTATGTCAGAGAAAGGACATCAGCTGTTATTCTGAATGGGAAGGGAAAGCATGAGATGGTTCTGAGCACAGAGAGGCACAAGCTGACCTGCATTTTAACCTGATCTCTGCCAAAGGGGCACAGGCAGAAGCGGGGACAACTGGAAGGCTCCTGTATATAGATAGCCCAGGAGAGAGATGGTGGTGGCTGGGACCAGATGGGGCATGAGAGGTGCTGACAGCTAATCACATTATGGGTATGAAGGTGGAGCTGACATAACCTACTGACAACAAGACGTGGGGGACGTACAAATGAGGAGTCAAGGACAACACCAAGGCCTCTTCCCTAACTGGACCAACGGAGTTTGCCCCTGAGAGGAAGAAGACTGCAGAAAACTCGTTGGGAGGAACACCGGCAGGAGCTGAGTTCTGAATATGTTCAATCTAGGATGAGCACCAGAGCTGGGAGGGCATGGCCTAGGGCAGAATCCTGGGCAATCTAGTACCTTTACTTTGACAGACGACAACAGAGGGCACAGGGAGGTCAAAAAAAACTACAATGGGTGGAAAAGAACTTGCAAAGGAAGGGTGGGCAACTAGAAGAAACCTCTGGCTTAGTAATTAAAAGGTCACTGACCGCTCCCAGAAAAGGGCCACCCTAGTGAACAGGTGAGCCTGGTCGCCAGGCAGCACTGTACCAAGCCCATCAACTCCAGGAGCCTGCACTGGTCTCCAAACCCACCAGCGGCTGGAAGGCAGACACCCTCAAGTATAAAAATCTGATGGGGGGGATAAACGATAAGGCTGAAAATGATAGGGACAATGAGATACTCCCTTGCTTTGTTTGGATCTGGCTGACCTGCTTAGGTTCTTACGTGATGAACTAAGATCCAGGCTCTAAGACACTATTTTGAAGGACCTATGGCTCAAAAATCGTAACAGATCCCGAGGTTTCTATACTTTCCCAATCCTAGAATAAGGTTTCAAAACATAAATTTCCCTTGAGGAAAACAAAACCACCACCAGGAGGCTGGAGGCTAGTGAATGACAGCATGTGCTCTGGGGTCCACAAGGCCAGACTCTTGGTACCAAGCCCTGTGCTCTTGGGCCTAATTTTAAAAGATATCCTGTCCTCACTAAGTCATCTAGTGAGGCTTTAAAAGCACAGACTGCACTTCCCAGTGTCTAACACACCTGTGTCAGAGACTGATGCTTCTTGGTTCTCAGCATATGATGCAAACCTGGTGAGCAAGGTACCCCAGCCAGACTCACCATCTAGCGCAAGCAGATCAGCAGCAACGAGATCAGGATGCAGAGTATGTATGCAAACATACACATCCACACACACGAAAAGAAAAACACTTTCTAAAAACAGTCCTAACTTCTCCT